TGGAGAGTGAAGATGTGCTGCTGTCCAAAAACTTCTATCCATACAACATTCAGCCCATGTGTATGCATGCACAAACACACATACACACACACCCCCTTGGCTCTTCTCATGGTCTGAGCTGCTGGTTGCACAGAATTATGGTGAATTTAACTCAACACACACAGTAACGTGATGTCCAGCTTGTCATGAACACTGATGTGGCAAGGCTCAACCCAGAGGTCTCACATCAATTACATTATCACACTTTCTTTTTATTCCTGGTGGAGACTGGGTAGCTATTAAAAGCACCAAGATGTAGAAATGAAGTAGAAAGAATTTGCATTATGCTACTGCTGTTATCCTCACAGAAGAAAATCCACTGGGTTTTTTTAGGTCTAAGTTTTCAAAAACTAGAGGACCTGCTCAGCATCAGTGGCCAAATTGTAAATGGTTTTATTTACTTGGTGAAACTTGAGTATTAGCTGTGGACTCTGGCCTTTGTTAAAATCACCTGCCAAGACTCCCAGACAAAAGCACCACCACTAGCAGAAGCTATGTTGGTTACTAACACCTTATCAAAAAGCTGTTTTGATTAAAAGACTAGAGAAAAACGTTCAGACACCATGGATTAATGGTAAGACTCTTGAGAAGTACTTACAAAACAAAGGGCTGCAGCTTCTCTGAGACAGGTGGTACTTCTCCAAAGCAAGTTGGAGCCCAGGACCCCTGGGATCTTGGGCTCTGCAAAGCTGCACAGCCGGAGGCTGTTTTGGGCACCTCAGCCGCTTGTCACTGGTGGTCTTGTCTAGACCACTGCCTGCGTGGGAATGCAATTCTGCTCTTCGCCTTGAAGGTACTTTGCCAGTTTCTACTTGCCAGGCTAATCCTGTTCCCTGTCTGAAACTTGCTTAAGAGGTACTTGTTTGTTTCATCTCTTTGGGCGATTAATTTGCACCACAAAACACACATCCAAGTTTAGCACAAGACTTGAGTCTTCTGGAGCCATGACCCAGGATGGGGCTGCTGCTCCTGCCTGAAATCTCCCCTCCTTCTTCTCTACCATTCCATCTCTTTGAAAACATTTCCAACTTCCTTTTCTGGAGGCAAGTGAGAAAAGTAGTTATTCCCAGCTCCAGACTCCTCCTGAAACCAGCTGTTTTCAGCAGCCCCAGTCCTGAAACGTTAACCTCCTTCCTTAACCTACTGATTGGTAACTCACTCTAATAGGTGTTTTGTCCCAAGATACCCACAGAAGACTCCGATGACGGAGCACTTTTAGACTTCAGAGTTTGAATCTCAGTTATAAAATGAATGCACACAGATCTATCCCAAAGGTAAAGCAGGTAGGAAAGCTAAGGTTCCTCTCCCACAACAGCAAACTCTGTGTTTACATATATTCCAGTTGGAGAGTGGAGGCTACAGGGTGCTCCTTTGTTTAGGAAGGAACCCTGGGAAATGCACTGATTTTGGAGGGTGGCAAAGTTCCCCCAAAATAAAAGGGAAAAAATTCTCTGGAATCATATTACAGAAATATTTCTGCAGATAAAAAAATCAAGACACTTGCAAAAGTTCCCAAACTGAAATTTCTCCCCCAACATGACAACGCCAAAGTCTCTTGTTCTGTCAGGAAGTTCATGAATGTACCTGCAAGGTTTGGGTACACCACGTCATTGTGTCCATCCTTAGAAATGCAAGTAGCTCTCCAAGACTTCAAATCCAAAGGGCACCCTTTCTCCTTCACCTCTCCACATCAACTCAAGGCAGTCTCTTTCTTCCTCCATGCAAACAAATGCCCAAGCCAGCACAGAGCACTAACATGCAAAGGACTAACATTGTAAACTTGAGCATTGCAACCACAAAATCTTTCACAAAGCTTTGAAGGACTTGCATTTTCCTGAGCTGGAGCTGAGAGGACTATAATTTCATAACTAACAAACAATTCTGGGGAATATTTAGGGTTCTGTTCTAGTCTCTACTGTAGTTTAATCACAAAAATTTGGTCATTTACTCTCATGATTTGTGCTTCACAAGAAAAGTCAATTCCAGGGATAAAGGGATAATATTTCCATGTAATACGTAACAGCAGCCTCATATTTTTGCAGTAGGATGGCTCACAGGGGAGGGCTGCACACACACAAGACCTGACTCTGATGTGGCATTAACCCCCATCTCTCTGTTCAGGTCCCACATAGGGAACAGCCAGCACACCGTGTGGAACACCGCCAATCTGCGCAACTGCCACCGGAAAAAATACGTCTGTACGGACCAAGGGCAGAACGAGGTGACAATCCGTCAGCACCAGGACATCCCCCTGCCACAGGTGAGGAGGGAGGCCCCGGCTTCCTTAACCACCAATGGGAAAGCAGAGTCCCTCAACACTGCAAGAACCTCAGTGATGCAGGAGCTCACTGAGCTGGAGAAGCAGATTGAAATCATCAAGCAGGAGCTGCAGCTCGCCATGGACAGGAAATCAGAGCTGGAGGAATATCAGAGGACAAACAGGACTGCAGAGCCCTAGGCCAGGACACCTGGGCCCTTCCACCTTTTCTTCCTCTTCTCCCCTATTCCTCTGTGAAATTTGTAACACACTTTTGTAATGCCAGAAAGGGGTGCAAAAATAAAGCAGGCAACGTGCTCTTCATGGGAGCAGGATTGCAGCAGCCCACAGCCACTGCCACCCTCCTGAGTCCTCCTTTCACAGCAAGTTTCTCATTCTCCTGGAAAACACCAGCCATTCCCAAGGGACTGGAGAAAAAAGGAGCATCCAAACAGCAAGCGTTCCTCATTCCTCCACTTGACAGTACAGTGAGGTTCCCACCTTTTCAGCCCTTTCTGTGCATTAATTCACAAAAAGACAAAAGAAAAAAAAAAGGGAGAAAATGTAAACTGCTCATTGGAAGCATGCCCCTTGTTGGTACATTTTTGTTGTGTTATCTGTGGGTTTAGTCTGTGTTCATACGAAGGCTCCTCACGGATGCCTCATTATGCCAGGTGCTAGTTCTGTGTTGGCAGTCCCTCCCCTCCTGGCACAGAATCTCAAGACAAAACTCTTGGTGGCAAACCCAGTACACACCACTCCCTCAGCTCTGTCAGAACAAAAGCAGATGTGGCTGCTCTGAGACTGTGGTGAAGGAACTCACCCAGCTTAAAAAATAACTTGGCAAAAACCAAACCACCACCTCCGTCTGCTTCCGAGCCCAGGCTTGGCTTCCACTGCACCCAAGGAGCAGCCATGCAAACAGCTGCACCAGCAGGTGGGAAGGGATGGATTCACAGTGGCACACAGCAAGGATATGGGGAAGAGAGGGGTGGCAGTACTGTAAATCAGTGTTTACCTCAAAATGTGAAGTGTTTTGCCATTGTGAAACTACTCCCTTAATATTCACTATCTTCAGCTGACAGTAGGGTTCTTCCTCACAGACGAGGTGACATAAAGGGGATCTTGTCCATTATTCATTTCATCAAAGTGAAAGGGAGGCACAAAAGCCTCCCTACAGATGAAGGAGAATGAGAGTTGTGGTTTCGAAGGCAATGTAACGGGCACAGCCCTCGCCTACCTGGATGATGGGTAGAGGGGAAGGAAGGGTAAGCTGTTGAACATCTGAATAAATATTTCATCAACCCAGCTGATTCTGTCTTTTGAGTAGGTTTTCTATCAATTCTTAAACACAGCTTCCCAACCCATCCTATATTACAGAGAAAAAGAATGTCTGAATTAACTCTGGTCTCTGAGATACCTTTTACCTCCCTTTATCTCCAAACACCTGCATGAATGTTGCCCGGGGTGATGTTCTTGTCAGGTACAGTTTAAATGCCACAGGCAGATCTAAAACTGTATTTTACCTTTTTGCACCTCTAACTTTTGAAAAACCCCTTGCAAATGAAAAGCTCTGCACAGACCACTAAAAGCTAATGACTAATTTGCCTCATCAAGAGTTCGTATTTATTCCCTGCTCAGTTCTTAGCCTCTGCTTTTGGGCAGCAGGTGCATCTACTCCTTTTAATAGTCAGTAACACAGGAAAGAGAAATCAGAACATAAGAAAGGAAAGTGGGATCCACAGCCTTGCACATCTAAGAGACCTGGGATACCCCTGCTCTCCTTGTTCTTGAAAAGCCAGATGGGCAAGCCACCGAGGCTGCTTTTGTTGCCTTCCCTTCCCCTCTTTTGGATTTACAGCTTTATTAGGAAGAGCTTTTGATTTGTGTAGCATTTGGTACCTCACAACCTCCAACAGCACTTGCCTAGAAGAGATGAACACTGCTCTCTTCTCCTAAACACTAGGAGAAAAGGATTTCAGAATAATCTTCCAAGTATTTTTATCAAGTTTTTAATGTCTTTATCTCCACAGAATGAGCCCAGAAATGGATTAAAAAAAAAAAATTAACTGAAAATGTTAGTATCTTAAACAAAAATGTGTTTTGCTTCAAAGTTCCAACCTAAACACCCAATCCTGCAAAAAATGAGCCTTCATTTAAAACCAAAAAAGTAAGTATAAGAATGTTCACCAACTAATAATTAATGTTATGCAAATATCTTTTCTGCTGGCTGCCTGAGGGGCTGCTCCCATGTCAAATGCAGAATAGGGATTGCTCCAAATTACCACAGCACTAACTAGAACCTTTTAGGAGAAGATCTAATTATTGTTGCCCAACAGAGATGTATTCTGGCATGTCATTTTCTTCAGTTATTGCACCAGCCTGATTCCCTAGAAGACAGAAAAGATTGCTGTAACTTTCCATGGATGTCAGTGACATGTCACAGGGGAGGATTTGCTGTGACAGAGGGTGCACTGGAGACTGGAGATGAAGCGTTTTCTTTGTCACCTGAGACACTGAATTTAGAGGGACTTTTGATAATACTTGTCACCCCTTTACTTCTTTAACCCTCACACTTCTAGTTCTGTTAAGCTTTTAATTATTTTAATTATTTCCACTCATTCTGGCAAACAGACCATCTGAAATTTTCAGTTTCTCAATATTTAAATTACAAGCACAGAGAGAAATTCAGTGACTTCAAAAATGATCTTGAAATAAACTATTATTTTATTACAAACCAAACCACTAACATTTTTCTTGGTAAGGAAAGAGAAAATAGAAGTTTCCAAATTTCCTCTGTGAAACTAATCCAGATTCTTTCAAGTATCTATTTCCTACCATGACCAGAGTGATCCCAATATGGCCAGCATACACACAAAAGTTTCAAGCTTTATTTCAGTAGAAAGGTGATGCAACTTTGTGACTTGGGAGAGGAGCAACGGGCTTTGTTCAGGGTCTGTTTAGTTCAGATGGTTGTTCACAGCTGTAAAAGGAAGTCTGCTGTTGTAGCGAAGCTGTTTGAAGATGCAGTTTGTTGTTGAACCAGGTCCCGATTTTGATGAACAAGCATTTGCACCTCACAATCTACAACAAGCATTAACACATGGCTCTTTCTCCAACTTGATGCCACAAACTGTAATCTAGGGAGCAACTTCCAGTGAAAGAGGAGAGGGTTCTACTGTCTTTTCTTCTAACAGCACTTAACACCACACCAGAAGTTCTCAGCATCCCAGCTTCCCCTTGGAAAGGTAGGGCCACATGTTCCTTCACTCTTTTCAAGGTTCATAATAATTTACAAGGTTTTATTTATATATTCTGAATGTTTTCAAAAAGATAATAATGCATACTGTAAGATAGCCTGTGATTAATTAATTTTACTACTGTTTCTATTACTACTATTTTTATTACTACTGTTTCTATTATTTCCTATAGTGAACACAGGAAGGTAGCACAGTTTTCACGGTTCAGGGAAGAGACACACACGAGACAAACCTCTTGAGAGGTGCACCTTCCAAGAAAATTAAGTTTACAGGAGAAACACTACACCTCGTGAAGGAATGTTGCAAATAAATTACTTCACATTTTGCTTTTAGGAGCAGACTTAAAATACAGTTCCAACCAGAGGGAGCATAGAGACTATAACTCATGCCACATCCTTTCTCAAAATTCCCAGCAGCCATGTCAAAATGGCTGCAGAAACAGTCCAGCGTCTTGGCCCTTCTCTTGTGTCAGGAATAAGATACTGGAGTTACATCCAAAAGGACAAAACTTGTTTTAGTCATGCATAATGTGAAGGCGGAGGAAGGAGAAGTTAATCTCTCTACTTGAGAAGCTTAAAACTTGTGAAAAATGTTTCCAATAACTGAACAAAGAACAGGAGACCAGGCAATACTACCAGAGGCAAGAAAACCAGAAAAAAAAACAAACAAAAGCTTTAATTAGATTTTGTGCATAAAGAGATTCATCTTTGTGGCAAAGCTGAAACAAAGGAACCCCTAAAAATCCTTATTTTATAAGGACAATGACAGTGATGCCTCAGCCTAGGGGAAGGTGTCCGTATCAACCAGGGTTCATCAGTGGAATGCTATTTTCTATGATTCTCTGACATCTTACCTTTCTCCTCCTCTGGCTACTAAGATGTGTGTGTGCTTTTGGGGCTAGGGAGGATCTTTACTAACGCACCAGCCCTAAGAGGTTCTTGCCCTGACTCAGGAAGATACATGCCTAAGGAGTGACTCCACTGAAGTCTAAAGATTCAGTTATTTGGCCTGTTAATCAGGAAACTATTCACTCTCAGAAGCACTACCATACCTTGATGGGATTTAATTAACATCCAAAGCAAACTCCTTGTAATAATATAGGTCTCACTAATCTCTGCTGCACCACAGCTTTCATCGCATCAAGGCAGGACTTCAGTCAGAGGTTCACAGCTTAGCAGTGTGATAGCGATAGATGGAAAATTTCCTCTCAGGCACAAAATATCCAAAAAACCAAGAGCAAGAACAAAAGGAAAGGGGGCAAGAAAGGAACCAAGATCTGGAATCTGTTTCTTTCCATACCCTAACCACACTTCCCAGAAGACACTGCAGATCAGCTGACAGAAGCCATGACTGCCCTGTGGGTGGTGGCCACAGAAGATGAGGGGAGGCTGGGTGGTCAGCGTGAGCAGCAGCTTCCCAGGATCAGCCAATGTAGATCCTGTGGAAGTCGTTGGCCCCAAAGGCCGCATTGCACTTGGGGCATTTGCGCTGCCGGGTGTCGTAGCGCGTCTTCACACACTCAAAGCAGAAGACGTGGAAGCACTTGGTGAGCACAGCGTCCTTCTTGCGCATGTTGCAGCACGGGCAGGTCAGACGGGCCTGCAACACATAAATGTTACTGTGAGGGCCCACTGTGGTCGATCAGAGGTGTTAAAAGATGTCTGGAGATGAAGGTCCCTCCATTCCTCAGAAGGAGAATACGGTTTCTTCAACCCCAGATAACGGATAAGAGATGCGAAATATTCAAAGCGTATCTACAGAGCTTTTTGACTGAAGAGGGAAGTTAATAGACACAACTACTCACCTTGTAATCCTTTATTTCTTCCATTAGTATCTCGTCACAGTTGGGAACCATGTCAGGCTTCTTTGTGGTCTCCAGCTTCCTGCGCAACCTAGAAATGTCTTCCTGCATAAAAACAAGAGACTAAGTGAATGAGCAGCATATTTCTCTGTCACAGCTGCTTCAGAGACCAAAGAGAACATGCCAACAGTGCACCTGGCTAAGTTGTGCCACCCATACTTTCATCCCACATAATCCAACATTATCTGATGCCACAAGTATTGTCAGTTATCAGTGGAAAAACCTGAAAGAGCCAAGACCTGATAAAGCTGAAGTCAAAGTGAAACTGGACACCAAAATAGTGTAGTTGAAACCCACTCCAAGCTCGATGTCCAAGGAGATGGACACTAAAGCAGACAGATACTAAAGGATTGTGCATAGGTTATATACCTCAGCCCTTTTGAAGTTAAACATCTCTTTCTCTCTAGTTACTCTGTTTTCCACAATCTCCTCCTGGAAGTCATGTAACTTCTTCTGAGCCAGCTCTAGCTGGGCTTTCAGATCATCTGCAAGCTGGGCTGCATCCATGGCCTGAAAAAGAAAACCCATACAGAAGTACCAAACATGGAAAAATAGCTCTAGTGATTTCTAGTCCCTCTGCCTGGCAATTCAAGACTGCTCACAGAATACTACTCATGCTGATGGAGATCTGTTTTTGCAATCTCTTTCTAGTACTTCAAAGTGAAATAACTGGAATTATTCCCTAAGCATCACTTCAGTGGCAAAATACCTTATTATTAACAAGTTCGAATCATTTAGCTTCAAGATTCCTCTTCAGCAGAGCCAAACCCTATCACAGTGCAAAGCATGTCTCTTAGAAAAACACTAATGACCACATAATTCTCTTCTTCATGTATTTTTAGCCTTCCAGCCTCCACATTTTCTCTGTTGTTTAGAGGCAATTGTATAGGTGAAGTAGATGGAAATTCAAGCAAGATAAGTGTTTTGAAGCATTTTCTCTTCACCAGTTCTCCTATAATCTTCTAACTAAGTTCCCTTAATACCACAGATTGTCATGTTAAGCACAAGTGACTGTGCTGAATTCCCCCAGTTCCTCTTCATAGTGATGTTTCTGCTTTCCTTTCTGCCTGTTTTAATGTCATTCCTGCATTTCTACTAAAACTATAAAAGCAAAGGCAGCATCAACCATGAGACTTTGTCTTATTTTACTGGTAACAGATCTACTTTATTGATCTTAGGCATTTGTTTAAAGTCTTAGCATTCCCCAGTCATATTCCCCCTTTATTTATCCCATCTTTTTTATAAAAGCTTTGACCCCAGTTAACTTTATCTGGCTGCTGCCTCTTCTTTCATGATAGGTTTCCTACAAAGGCATCTTACTTCAGCACCCTGATCAACCTTTCACAGAAACATACATTACCTGCTCCTCTTTATCAAAGGAAACATCAGCCTACAGTACTTTAATCAGTGTTCTCTTCAAGACTCCTAAGCCTTCTGTCCAAAACCAGGGAATATCAGGTTCTGTAACACCAGCGAGAGCTGAGAGCCTGCTATGCCTCCCGCAAGGCAACAGCTCCATCTTACAATCCAAGACAGAATCACTCACTCACCTTGCGTTTGTTCATTTCCAAGGCTTGTGTTCGCAGACCCAGCTCCTTCTCTCCTGTGCCAATACTGCTCTGCAGTAAGTGTTCCTTTTCCTCCAGCTTACGTACAACCTGCAGCTGGGCATCCACCTTGGAAAGCGGGAGACAAGGTGCAGAAGGAATGAAATGTACACTCTGTGGGTCTTCAGAGCTGCCATTAAAGCTGCATGTTAAAACTATCCCTGCCTCCCCAGCACAAAGCAGCATCAGCTTGCCTTTTTCTCACTGAACAGCAACCCAGTAGTCTAGGAGCTGTATCCAGATCTCTCTGGTGAGCACTTTAAAACTTAGCAGTCAAATATTTGCAATGAAGATGTGCTAATTTTCGAACAGTGGCTTAAAGAATTGCTGCAAGGAAGTGCATAGTTCCGCTTTGGTTCCAGAATATAGAATCATAGAATGGCTTGGATCGGAAGGAACCTTAAGGATCATCCAGTTCCAACCCCCCTGCCATGGGCAGGGACACCTTCCACTAGACCAGGTTGCTCTAAGCCTCATCCAACCTGGCCTTGAGCACTTCCAGGGATGGAGCACCTACAACCTTTCTGGGAAACCTGTACCAGGGCCTCACCACCCTTTGTGTAAAGAATTTCTTCCGAATATCTAATCTAAACCTGCTTTCAGTTTAAAACCATTGTCCCTTGTCCTGTCACCATCTGCTCATAAAAAAAGTTGCTTTCCCTCTTTTTCTAAGCCACCTTCAAGTACTGGAAGGCCACAGTGAGGTCTCCTCAGACCCTCTCCAAGCCTGTCCTCATAGCAGAGGTGCGCATTCCCTCTAATCATATTTGTGGCCTCCTCTGGACTTGTTCCAACAGATCCATGTCCTTCCTGTGCTGAGGACACCGGAGCTGGAAGCAGCACTGCAGGTGGGGTCTCACGAGGGCAGAGTAGAGGGACAGAATCCCCTCCCTTGATCTGTTGCCCACACTGCTTTTGATGCAGCCCAGGACATGTTTGGCTTTCTGGGCTGCCAGCACACACTGCCAGCCCATGTCCAGCTTTTCATCCACCAGAACCTCCAAGTCCTTCTCCGAAGGGCTGCTCTCAATGACTTCTTTCCCAGCCTGTACTTGTACTCATGTCTGAGATAGTTCTCATTGAACCATAGTTTCCAGCTTCTCCTGCTTGTTACCAGTATATACGGGTATATGTAGAAGATACAGGTAGAAGTATCATTACAACATGAAAATGACTTCCCACTTTCCTTCTCCCATCTGTTCTCCATAGCAGTGAACCTCTAGGACATTTCATGCTCCATACAGCAGTCTCAGTTTCTTACTGAGACGGGTCTCTTTAACATCTGACACACCATTCTTAAGTTGATTAGGGGAGCATTCCCTCCTGTACTGATTTTGGTGAGGATACAGTTAATTCTCTTAACAGCAGCTCACATGCTGCTGTATTTTGCATTTGGGAGAAAAACAGTGTCAATAACTACTCTTTTAGCTCTTGCTGGGCAGTACTTACACAACATCAAGACCTATATGTCTCATGCCACCCATGAGCAAGTAGGCTGAGGGTGCACAAGCAGCTGGGATACCACATAGCCAGGACAGCTGATCCACCTGACCCAAGGGGTATTCCATACCACATGATGCTGTGCTCAGCAATAAAAGCTGGCGGAAAGGAAGAAGCGGGAGGGTGTTCAGAGTTGCAGCATTCATTAAGTAACAATTATGTATGATGGAGCCTTGCTCTCCCGGAGATGGCTAAACTCCTGCCTGCCATGGGAAGTGCTAAATTAATTCACTTCTTGTGCTTTGCTTATGTGCACATTTCCTGTAATTGTTGAACTGTGTTTATCTCAACTCACTCATTTTCTCACTTTTACCTTTCTGATTCTCTCCCTTGACCCAGTCTGGAGCTGGCTACCAGAGATAACCAACAACACCTCCACCTTTCTCCACCAGTCCTCTTGTCCTCTCTCTTTTCCAAGGTTACCTGTGTCTTCAGTGTCAAAACTTGGTCTGCCAGCTCCTCCTTCTCCTCTTTCAGGAGCTTGTGGATCTGGTTGGACTTGATGCGTTCTGACATCAGCTTGAAGTTGGCATCATCCTTCTCCCGCAGCTGTTGCATCAGGCGGATGTTCTGCTCTTGCATGTCTTCAAAGGCTTGGCCTGTGACATCCATTTCTGACAGCAAGGCCTCCTCCTCCTGCAAAACAATCACAGGCTCTGGCAATACTGTCTCCTGTACCCTCTGTTGTGACCCTGAACATTTTACTCAGACACCAAACCTAGCACAGATGAAGGAAGATGTCTCAATATCAAAGAACAGTATCTTCCCAGCAACCAAAAGAAAGTGCTCCCTAGAAATCTGCACCACAGTGGAGATACTCTGATTTTGAAGGTGTAGAAAAGTGATGGTCAGCTGTACAAGCATTCAGAGACTGTGGCCTGCCTGCTGGCAGAATCAGCTGTGGCACAATCATTCCCAGAGCAGGTCAGAAACCAACTCTCAACTTCCAGCAGCTACCTGGACAGCTGTCAGTTACACTAGACCAGGGATTCTACATGTGGACAGCTCGGTAGCATCCAGCTAACACACTGCCAAGCCCCTTCGACCTCTTCAACGTTAAAGGAGTAAGTGACAAGACAGAGCAGTTCTGTTCTATAGTTAAAAGAATCTGAATTCTAAAAAAGTACATGTCAAGTCATTGGCTTGCCTCTCTGCTAATGAGGTGGTCCTGCTCCCTCACTGGATTAAGCCCTTTTTTGTAGAAGAGGGTATGTACCAGTACCATGTAAACATACTCACTATATGAACTTGTACAGATAATAACTTTTACAAAGAAATTTTAACCTCCTCCCCTAGTGGCTGATTCAGCCATTTCTCCTCTGTGGTCTTCACCAAGGCCACATGTTTAATTGTTACCAAACATTTTCCCCCCCATCACCTGCCATGAGGTTTATGACACTCTCCAGTAGTGGGGTTTTTGATAGCTTTTGGTGGGTTTTTTGCATGTTCATTTTTTTCCCTTCAATAAACAAGGACTAAACTCGCATTTCTGGTCCATACAGATATCTCTCAGATAATCTTCCTGGCTGCAACCTGAAGGCAGTTCCTTCACAGGTGTTCCATCCAGAACAGAACTCATCAGGAACTTCTCACCTGCTTAGCCATGGCTAGTTTCTTCTGTAAATACTCAATTTGTTCTTCCACTGCTCGGATCTTGCGGAGGGCATCCTCATCAGCCATCTTTTTGCTCTCCTTTTTCTCCTTGTCTTCCAATTCTTTCACCCTCTGCCTTAGTTCTTCCAGCTACAAGGACAAACCACAAACGACTCTTAACGTGAGGATTCGGCCTGAACATTGTTAAGTGCCTGTTTTCCCCACAAATTCTCTGAAACACTGCAGAAACTACCTTAAAAGTATGGGAAAAGAAAACCCATTCTATTTTGACAGGACAGAATGTTACTGGCAGATGGACCACTGAGATAGGCTGTAAGCCTAAGATCTAGATTTCAAAACCTTTGAAAATTCCGTAGAATCTTTTATTACAGTAGGAACATCAGTCTCTTGCAGTTTTATATGTAAGAGTATATGGATAGAGAGATAATAACAAGGAAGTAAAACAAAACATAGAGACACAAAACCGGAAGACAAATGGTAAAGGAGGCAGTTGATGCCCTAGGATTTTTAGCTTTTCATACATTTTAATGTAGCTGTATAGTCTATCACACTTTAGTAGTTAACACTAACCAAAACCTATTCCCCTATTTCATATTGAGTTTTCTAAATTCTTTAGGTCTGTTTAAGCTCCTTTTCAAGGTATGACTATAGTAAACACATTCTGTTTATGAACATTGGCACCTCAGGCCTGAACAACAAGATACCATCCCAGTCAAAGCAATCTTCAAGCCTGGAACCTTGGAGAATCTCCAAAGACAGTACATGCTGTAAAGAAGAGGAAGATTAGGAAGAAAGGGGTCTTAGGACTCCTCGACTCAATTACGGAGAGGCGTGCCAAGGGGCAGATTTGGGGAGGATCTGAGGGGATTCGATTGGATGGATAATATCCATTCAGGATTGGATGGATAATACTATAAAATTGTGGAACTCCTGGACACGGGCGCGAGTCTTTTCGCACTCCTTGCACCAAAAGGCCTTCATTAAAGAGCTATTCTCCACCGTATCTACACTTGTGAGGTTTTTTCTGCTCCCAATTTTAAGGCAACAAAGTGATAACCTGGACAGTCACACCAAGTGATGAGGGCACTGAGACTGTGAGAATGTTTATTCCAACAAAGTTATGTGACTGTGGGAGAATGAGGAAACTAAAAACAAAATATGTAGAGAGACAGACATGAAAAACAAACATGGACACAAATAGATGAAGGAAACTTCCCCAGTCACAACACTTGATAAGCTTCCAAGAAAATACAGGCAGCACTTCCAGGAAGATCAACCTGGACTTTGCAACTGGTAAAACTGTAAACCAGGAGTGGATCCTGAATTGTGAGGGCTGTGGGAACTGACAGAGCTGTGCAAATCCAGAAGTTGATGTGCCAGGAAAGGAAGAGCAAGGATGAACAAAGTGGGGTTAGACAGAGAAAGGTATAAAAGGAGCCAATCACATGTAAAATGTGGGCAGTCAGTGCACACCTGTCTGGCTAAGCCCTGCCCATGATCACTGCAGCCTGTCCTGCTTGTGAGAGCAAGCTCCTGAGACCTGTTTGTGAAGGTAAAAGGGGCCTGGAACCACAGGGGTACCAAACACACAGAGGAGTGTGCTGGTACTTGTATGTGCCTGTGAACCTGGAGATTGGTGTGTGCGTGTGCCTGTACTTGTGACATTCTGCATGTACCAGCTGAATAGGAAGGGACTGGTCTATGCTTTTGTTTTATGAGTCCCATATGCACATGCTGTTGAAGAAAGCATCTAGTCTGTGACAGTCTGACTGGCTGTGTATCTCTGGGATGTGTGCTCATCTCCACTACCAGCTGAATATGCAACAGAGAAAGTGGAACCATTTGTTTCAGCCAGAGCAAAGGGATCATCATCCTTTCCCAGAGGAGAATGTCCCAAAATCTCTCTGTTCATATCCAGACCATTCCAAACTCCCTTCTAAGTGACAAAGCTGAGAAGACAAATAATCATCAGTTTTGAAGAGCAAAGCAACACAGTTCTGGTGCAGAGAAAAGATGTTTTAAATAACACACTAAAGAGTAAAAGGGAAGAGAAATTAGATTTACCTCAGCTTTTGCCTTCTTCTCAGCTGCCATCAGCTGCACTTTGTCTCTCTGCTCTTTGGGGGCAGAGCGGTACATGTCGAGCAACAGCTTCATCTCCTTCTGGCTCTCCTGGGCCTTCCTGGAGACAGGGAGACAGACTGTGAGAATATGGCAGGAAACCCACCCTGTTACATAGCCAGCAAGAGAGCCTGAGCAATATTCTCTCCATCTCCCATGTGGATATGGAGTCCTCCTTGGCTCATCTTATCATGGTAACATAAAACGGCCAAGGAGTACAGGCTCAAAAAGAAACATGTTCAGGCACATGGGCTGAAAAGCCAAGAAAAGTGGGGTAGAGAGGAAATATGTACCCTAATAGTGAGCTACAAAGCTATCCACCGCTGCTCTGGTAAGGATCCAGGAGAGGGAAGGCTGCTGTGTTCTTTATTAATAACCTGCTGCTGTAAAGTTTTACACAACTGTTATGACAGCAACAAATAAATACTACTTCATCCATATCATGAAGTCTGTTTTGGTAACTCATGTTGTAGGCTGTTGTAAAAGAAATTTAACTACATTGACCAGATCACAATCAGATATGGAGGGTGCTAGGAAACTCCTTCTTCCTTTCAGTGACACTAATCTCGTAAAACCAAGCCACATGTCTCACACAAACACCCCTGTGTGCGCACTGCTCAAGCAGGAAAGGAAGGGACAACAACTCTTACTTGAGCTCAGCCTTCAGCTGCTTGATCACTTCAGCCTCTTTCTTTCTTCCATCTTCATGCTTCCCCTTCTCCTTCTCTTTGGATTCTCTCTCCTTCTCAGATTCCTTCTGTTTCTGCTTTTCCCGTTCTCGTTCCTTTTCCTTTTCTTTCTCTTTTTCTCGCTCTCTCTCTTTCTCCTTTTCCTTCTCTCGTTCCCTCTCCCTCTCCCGTCTCTCTCGCTCCCGTTCCTCTTCATCTCGCCTGGCCTTCATTTCATTTACATCTTCAGCAGCAGCCTTGGGGACAGACACTTGGGCAGAAGGATCCTCAGGTTCCTGCTTGATCTCTGGAGGTTCCTCCTTTGTGTCTTCAGTGCTGGACTGGGCCTGTAAGAGAGCACTGCCACTGCGAGAGCGGATCTATTGTGGAACAGCAAGAAAGATGACACAGAAGAACACAAACCATTAAGTTCTTAGCCAGAAATCTACCTTTTCCCTAGTCTCCCCAGATCCATGATTCCATGCCCCCTTTGTACCTGCTATTACTTTTCAAGGAGCACTACACAGCTACAAAGGAATACCATTCATCTGATAAAAGGAGGCAAAAGAGTGTAGGGCTCCACTGAAAATCACACTGCATCCTGCATGCCTGATCAGAAAGGCTGATATTGCAGGCAAGGGTGACAGCATTCCTCCTCCTCCTAAGCACTTCCTCCTCTTTTCTGGTATTCCCTGCTGTGATACCTTGCTCAAATCAGACTGGGCCTCCCTCAGCTTGCGCTTGTATCTCAACACCTCTCCCTTCAGCTGGTGGTTGTGATTTTGGAGGCTGCTGATGAGATGACGCATCTCTCGGTTAATTGGGCCTACAAAAACAGGAACAAAACTGTAACAAACCATACTTTGGTCAACCCCCTGCAAGGACTTTCATGGAGATGGAAAACAAGCTAAGTGTCAGCGACAAAGAACCAAAATAAGACTTAGCATTCCGCCACACAACAGAGCAACACAACACATTTGCAGGAAAAAGTCATGCACAGTCCTAATTTCCCATTAACATTACGTTTTTCCCCAAGATCCTAAGGGAAACCTAATTTCCCACTAATATTACTTTTTTCCCCATGATCCTAAGGGAAACATGTCATGCTACAAAAAACCTCTATGATTTAAATGCTATTTTAGAAATAACTTCTTTATTTCCTCTGGTGATATTCGAAAATTACTGCTTTCCTATCTAGGTTGTCATTCCACACTTCTAAATGAATCCTCCCCCTTCCAAGTAATTTTTAATAATGCAAAATACCCTGTCAGAAACCAAGTTATTAGCAAAACATATGTATTATTGAGCATGTAAATGGAAGTCAGATAACATGGAATTGGCCTCCCAGTAAAACACAGGAAGAGCTTTGTTTTTAGAGATAAAGAGACATGCCAGAACACGTATTTGACAATAACAAAGAATCAACCCAGGTGTTTTATTGCAGTGTAGCCTCTAACGGGCATTGGGGGGCAGGTGGTATTTGTTTTTAGGTACAGCAGAACAACACTCTACCTGCTTGCTCATTGGCAGCAAGGGTCTGCTCAAATTCTATCCTCAACATCTCGTATTCTTTGCGGACTTGTGCCAAGGTGTCCTCCAGCTGAATCACCTCCGTGCGCAGCTTCTTGTGCAGGCTGACCTCATCCCTCTGAGGAGTGAAAAGGGAACAGATTAACGCTTTGAACCTGCTTTGAACATGAAGTACCAGAAAAGACTGAATTATTGCCGGAAATGTAAATCTCCTGAGCTTTCCCAGAGCCACTCAGAGCCAGCAGTGCTCCCTGGTCTGGTGGAGCAGACGTGTTACCTCAATGAGCTCCACCTGGCGCTGGTGTGTGGCACGGGTGCCGTGGAGCAGCGTGCGGGCCTCATCCAGATGTGCCTTCAGCTGGAGACTCTCGTTATACAGAACAGAAAACTGGGACTGCATGCAGCGGTACTCCGGGGTCTCCTTCACAGCCTCTTCTACTGCACGTCGCAGCTCAACCTAGAAGAGACACAGGAAAATGCCGTAAAAATTATCCCCTTGCCTTTGGTTTTTATTTCAGAAGATAGGAGAACAGTGAATCAAGCTGCCACAAGAAAAGACTAACGTAGAACTTTGACAGCATTGCTGTGCAGTAGGTGTAAGTAATATGCTTCAGTATCAATTTTAAAAGTCTATGGTTTCTCTGCGTGCATCAGGCTATTTCTCTTGCACAGTCACATGACAAAATTTTTCACCCTTGGATTCTGAAATAGTTTCTTTCAAAGACACGAACTTGGAAATCATAATACACATTTTCAAGTGATTTACTGTAACCCATAATCACCTAAATCAAGAACGATGGACACACAGAAAAGTATGACAAACTAGAGAAAACCTATGTGCCAGTAGGCATTATGTTAGCCTGTTTCCAAGTAAGACATGGTGACTGAAAGGAAGAGAAATGCAAAAAAAAAACAGGTACAGAATCTGAATTTTCCTTACAAAAAAAATTAGTGTATGATTGTGACTGCCAGCAGTGAAACAAACACATATATGATGCATACACCTTAATACTACTGAAGAGAAAAAAAGAAGTTGTAAGCTGAAGAGTGGTTCTCTCAAAACAAACTCATGTGTATAAACAGTATTTAGAGGTGCCTCAAGATAGTCCTTGGAACCAGATGTCTTAAACTTAGGTTATCAGGTCAGACATTTTTTGTAACAGGCTAACAGATCTACTGACCACTAAGATGACATCTAGACTATTCCCTCCATCATATATTTATCTACTACAGAGTCACAGCTTTTTGTGTTACTACCATTAAAACACCAGAAACGCATATGCTGTTTTCCATTTTCCCACAATCCGAAAGACAAAAATTCATCGACTCGAATTTCAAGAGACTCTTTCTCCTACACAAGGTTCCCCGATTTTTTCAGTTGTCCGGCTCCTCTTGTATAGGGCATGGGGAAAGTGGAAGAGGAGTCAGTACTTGTAATGAGGTGAAAGCAGTTCTAACTAGACATGTTTAAAATGTCCAGAAAAGATCAGAATGGAACACAGGAAGGAAAACATTCTAATTTCCAACAATGACCACATGGTGTCACTAACATAATGAATTGCAATGGTAAGTCCCAAACTTGCTAATTGTACCTTGTACGAAGTTTAACATCACTGAGAGAGCAAGCACGGAACAGAATAGTGCTAGCGAGGTTTTCTGGACACAGCCCAGCAAAACAAAGGACAGCCCAACACACAAAACACCTCCATCCCCAAACAGGTACAGATATCTCACCTTGAGTTTTTCATTCTGTGTTGTTACTTCCTCAAGATCCTGGCGTAGTTCCTCCAATTCATTGAGGCGATTCCCAGCAAGCTCTTTATTCTCTTCCAGCTCTGCATTCATCTCCTCAAACTGTTGGGGGATAAACTGCTCGTAAATCCTACTGTTAACGTCTCTCCTGAAGGTACTAATGAAGTAACTGTTCGTGCAGTAACAGAAATTACAGACTAAACAGTGAGGTAACGTTACCAAGTCAGACAAAGTCTACTTCCATTCGGTCTGTTTCTTCAGCAGGAAACTTGTATACAGACAAAATGGTTTGCCCAGAGTAACCCACATCTGTGGCAAAGGATCTAAAATTATCTAAAATAAGTATGTAAATTCTGTTCCAATCTATGGCCCCACGCACAAGCTCTCCTTTATTCTTCCCCTTGCCTGCAACCAAGCCCCTGACATTACCTTGCGGGCATTAATGGTGATTGTGCCCCCATAGAGGCTGCTCCCAGCTCCATACACCTTGTAGCCTTTGGAATTTACCTGGAAAAAAAGCAGTAGATTTCATCAAGACCCAGTTAATTACGAGCAAGACTGCTGATACAGCAAATCCAAGACCAAAGATGGTATACTGCAGATTCTCAGTTCTCACAGTGAAGTACCATGAGGTGATGTTACACATCCCAAAACTGCACCCATTTCTCCGGTTTCCTGGCAAAGAGGGTAGTACTTACTCGTTCTAGAACATCTGCTAAGTGGCGGTTGAGTCTCTGCTCCCTCTTGCGTATCTTGTCAATGTCCCACTGAAGGTCATCAATCATTGTCTCCAGAACAGACACCCGGGATTCTGCTGTCTCCACTCTCTCTTGCAGCTTGGAGAACTGTAATCAGGAAGAGTGTTTTAGCCAGCAGACTGATTAAAATCAACTTTTCCTGAGGCTGCTCACTAACAGTTTTTCTCTTAATTCATCATGTCTTTTCCATTTTTTGCTGTGGTGACAGACTCCATGAATGCTCCTGAATTTTACTCTGCCTGAATCCCAAGACAGTTACAAAATGAAGAAAGAGCAAGAAACTGGTAATATCTGACAAAATAGAGGCAGCCATCTCAGCTTATTCAAAGGCTTTGTTTTCAATCTTTTCAATCCATATGTTCATTTACCCTACAGACCATACAAATGCTCAGTGGTCTAACACTGACCAAGATCAGTGGTAACACAATTTTTAAAGGAACTGAAGTCTCCAAAACGAATAGTGCCAATAATTTGAATCCCTTAGTGACTGGGATCATCTTGTCATTGATTTCATTACACTTTCATACACAATGCAGAGCAACTAAGGAATTTAGAATTACGGAGATGTCACGTCAAGTGTCTTAGGTGTTTACACAACCCCTTTGCATCACCTTTCCATTTGCTCTGCTCTACTCTCTTCTAATATTGAATCCATTCAACTCACTGATTTGGTTATACTCTTCCCTATGGTCATGTAACAACCAAATCGATCTGAATGATACAGAAAATCTATGTACAGTTCTCCACTACAATAACCCTTTTCATAACTTTCCAACTGTGCTTCTCCTATCCCTCCCCAAGGAAGTAACCTGCTTTCCAGACTATGGTGACCACAAATTATGAAAAGCAGGACCCCAAAGCAGATCTGTCTTTTTTATACCTCCTGAGACATGATCCGGTGCTTCTCCTGAAGAACATCAGCCAGTTCCTGCAGCCGTCCATTTTCATGTGACAGGTAGGTGTTAAGCTCCAGTACTGCTTCTTCCATCAATGAAATATCTGAAAGATAGACAACGAAAAGTAAATTAACGGAAATCAAGGAAGATTGGTCTTAATTCTTAAATAGCAAAGAGAGAAAGAAGAAAACAGGAAAGGAAATTCTGGTTTTGTGTTTACTCTTTTGTTTTTATCTCTCCCACAGGGGGTTCCCAAGGGCCTGATCTCCATCAGAGAGCTTTGACAGTTTACAGCTAAGGACAGTAGCACTCTCTTGCAACAATGCCAGACTTGTCAGAACTCCTTTATGAGAGCACAAAGAATACTCTGGACAGAAGGTAAATCATGGATGAGCTGATATTCCACCCAAGTTTTCACTAAAAAGCTTAAAATTCTACCCTTAAGCTAATGTTTTTTAGACAGCCATCTGAGTGTAAAGTGAACCTGCTACATTGATTTTTATAGACTAGTCATTTGGCTTTTTTCTGCAGAACTCTACTTGGTGTTTAAAACTGACAGCTACACCAAGACATTAGATGGGCATCATTTTGCTCAAAAGTCAGTGGAAACTGAGTAGTTTTATATATATATAAAATATATATATAAAACTATACCTTTTACTAAACTGCCTGTGAGAAGGAGTCCAACACCAGTCTGCAATGATGATTTCACTTCTTCACTTGTAAGCATGAAGCCTGTTACATGATGGCTGAGGACAGCAGGGTGATAAGGTTCAACTCAATCTGTAACTTCCCAGGTGCATGAACACCTGGCAGAACTAACACTATACTGGCAGAAACAAGCTTTTTCTTAGCCAAACACACTGGGCAGAGCTCTCAGCATTCAAATTCACAGGTAGTTACAATACACTTCTAGCATATAGTCCTTTATTAGAGCTTTTTATAATGAGTTCAGAATGCCAGGCCAATTTATTTTGGAAAATAAACGAGCATGAAAGAGACTAGGCCTTAATGTGCACAATGTAGTATCAGCTCTAAGGTGGGGGTTAGATGAGTTTCTTGAAAACCTGTAACCTTGGTCATACCTCCACTGTTCAGCTTGTGAGACAGAACATCTACTTTCTCCTGCAGCTTGTCGTACATTGTCACAATCTGGGCAACAGCATGGCGGGAAGACTCTACGCGCTCCTGCAACTGGGATTCTATCTCCTCACTGGTGCTGCTGGCCAAAGTGGCCAGGAAGGAGAATGCTGGCTCCAGTCCTTCCCCTGGGAACAGAAGGAGGCACTAGAAGGTAAATGTTATCTAGCAAATAACATATAACACATAATCTCCACAATCACAAAAGAGAGCCTCTGTCACCCTTCAGAAAGGGACATCAGCATTGTCCACAGCTGAAATCCATCTTTCCCACTGTCTCCAGACAGGTGTCTCACCTCGTTCCCTCTCATCTTTGCGCTCCTGGTTACTGTCAGAGTCTGGTTCAGGTTCTGGTACCACCAGCGCTTTTCTTTCAGACAAAAGGTCTCCAAGACCTTGGTCCAGATCGAAGCGTTTAAGGATGATGCGGATATTTTCATCAAACTGAATGATAGGACAGGCAAGGTAAGACAGAGAATGGATGTGAATAAAAGCAGTGCAATGGTACAGAAAAGAACAGTGTATAAAAAGCAGCAAACCAACCTGATTCCAGTATCGGTTGATGATCAGCAGAGATGCATCATCAGTGGCCTGCCGGCGCTCCAGCTTCTCTATGTGCTCCCGCAGCTCATCCTCGATGGCCTGACGCTGGTCCAGCATCTCTGCGAGCTTCCGGTTCTTGGTCTGCAGAGTCCGAATGTCCAGGTCCTCCTGTGCAGGGAAACATGGCACACAAGACAGATCACAGACACGTTTTTGTTTCCAGATGAAAAAGAGCAAGAGGTTGAGTGGGGGTGTGCAAGAAGGACATACTGTTGAGGAAACACCACCAAGCTTGATGGTCTCCACTGTGGTCCCCGAATCTTCAACGCCCGCCTTCTTCTCCGGAGGGGCAGAAGGGCCAGGCTCTGCAGCTGCCCGTTTATTGCCAATTCCAGACATGGTAGCTGAAGCAAACAGGTTCCCACCTTCTCCAAATTCTTCCTGAATATGAAAGAATACTATTGAAAAAATCCCAAACACACACACATCCAATCAACTCGATTTGGGGTTTTTAACATACCAATCCATTACAGTAACAAGATGCGCAACACAAAACAGATCATGTAACTAATGGTTTTGGAAAATACTTTAGGAGAGGAATGGGTTAAAAGTGGAAGACAGGTGAGGAGGACTGCAGATCACTCAAGAGACCCTGTAGCTGGGAATAAGCCTTGACAGGGTTGTGATCCTCTGGCATGGACCGAGTTTAACAGTGCCACGTCCAGGTGAGGGTATCTTGTGCCCAGGTGTTGCTTTGGAGATCCCAAGGTTATCAAGGTAATGGAAATAAATTTACTCTTTGTGTTCTTGCTGTGAGTTTTTGCCTGCCTGTGTTGACTTGCACATTCTGACCAAACATTAAACGGTGAAAGACATCACTAGGATCAGCACTACAAACAGCAAGTTCAAGGGGAAAACAATCCACTGTTCTGTAATGTTAAATGGAAGCACTGTACCTTATCACTGTCTTTAGAAAAAAATCTTCATGTAGGTTCAGTTGCTGTTTTTCTGTATTAACAAAAAGTATCAGGGTTAGATTTTAACAAACTGCTGAGACTGTGTATATGTGGCACCAAGTTCACCAAGTTCTCACCTTGGAGATAAGCCCTGTACTTACAAATCTTATAAATCTTATGGAACTGAAAAACAACTCCCAGTCAAGGCTTGTAAAGACCCATTTCAAGAGCTTTCCTGTCTATCGGGAGATGCAGACACATTTGAAGAGAATCTATCCCTAAATTAACACACTCTGAAAAGCTCTGGACTAGTTAGAGAATCCCAGAACAGCTGAGGCTGGGAGGGATGTCTGGAGGTCACCCTGCCCAGTGTTCCTGAAGGAAGTAAGGTCAGTCAAAGCAGGTTTCCAAGGGCCTTGTCCAGGCGGCCTGAGTATCTGCAGGCACAGAAACTCAGCAATGTCTCTGGGCAGCCTATCCTAGCTGAATTACAAGCGCATTGCAGAGGGTGGGGTAACAGCAGTCACTAAAAACATCTCATCTACTACCAGTCAGTCCAGCAAGCCACCAGTGACCAGGGCTTTTCCTATTTTTTGTCCACAGACAAAGTATCCCTTCCATTGTCTCCTGACACCATCCCTCAAAGCTCCAGTTCCCCCTCTCCCTACTTCCTCACACACTGTATACCACAATACAACCCACTGATTTTTTATTGCCACAGACCCTCTCTTTCACGGAATCCTTTAGACTGGAAAAGATCTCTGAGATCAACAAGTCCAACTTTGACTGACCATCACTTTTTCAGCTACACCACGGCACTAAGTGCCACACCCAGTCTTTCCCTGAATACCTCCAGGGATGGTGACTTTACCACCTCCCTGAGCAGCCCATTCCAATGCTTAACAAGCCCTTCTGCTGCTTACACACACAGAAGAGGTAAAGAACTCTAAGGAGGGATGTATCCTTTTTTAAATGTCACATTTATTTCCTTTTTGATACAGAAGAGCTGTTCTGCTCTGCAAACTAACTGACAAAATAAGCTTTATTTTGATTCTTACATTGTACTTACTTAAAAAAAAAGGATTTTTGATGACAAGCCCTACAAATTGAAACCCAAATTAGATTTTCTCTTCTCACATACTACCATTTTACACTAAATCTGAAAACCTCAAGGTTTTATTACTTCTGCTACCACCAGCTCTTGCTACTATAGTACAGAAAATCTATTGCATACATATAAAACCTGATGTACAAACAGAGAATCACAGAATTAAAAGCATCGGGCACATGTAAAAGCTGCTATTTGAGTTTATACTCCCCAGCAGGAACTCCAGTCAAGCAATGTTCTGTCCACAAGCCAGCCTAAAGGGGATTTTTCCGTGGCCTCCAGGTCTGGCTCAGTAGGAATATCTTAAGCATGGAAGGAGAAAGGGGAAAAACAGCCAACTCCATTACAAGATCAAACCTAGAACTCCTTAAATTAACACCTATTTTACATTTCCGTTCTTTGGGAACTCAACCTTTTCTCTCAGTCACAGGCTATCCACATTATTCCCTCCCCAAACAGACCACACTGTTTTATCACAGACTGACTGTCCTCCTGGCGTTCTCCTCCCCTACCATCGGCCTGTTGCGGAAGGGAGATGTGAGAGCTGGGGCTGTTTAGTCTAGAGACGGGAAGACTGAGAGGGGATCTCTCTAGTGCCAAGAGGATGGTGCCAGACTCTTTTCGATGGTGCCCAGCGACAGGATGAGGAGCAACGGTCATAAACTAAAACACAGAAAGTTCCACTCAACATGAGGAAAAACTTCTTTCCATTGACGGTAGCAGAGCATAGAATGGGCTGCCCTGGGAGGGCATGGACTCTCCCTCCCTGGAGATATCCCAAACCCACCTGGACGTGTCCCTGTGTCACCTGCTCCAGGTGATCTTGCCTTGGCAGGAGGGGTTGAACTGGGTGATCTCCAGAGGTCCCTCCCAACCCTAAAAATTCCATTATTCGAGTTCCCACATGCCCTAGCAGCTCCTACACCCCCGTCGCCCTCCTCCAGCCCGTGGGGACCCCCGCGGTCCTGCCGCTGCCCCCGGGAGCCTCCCACCCCGCCAGCCGCACACCCCCCAGTCCCGTCCCTCCCTCCATGGGCTTGTGGCGTCTACACCACCGAGCCACTGCCCCTTACCCCCGCACTGCCACCTCCCGGCTCTCCTCGGACCCCGGCCCGGATCCCGGCCCGCCCTACAGACCCGCCACGGCACCGCCGCCACCACCTCCTCAAGCCATCCCGCCGGCAATGGCCGACGACGACCGCCCCTTCCGGCCGCCATTTCGCCCTCATGCGTCATGGAGGCGCCGCTTTGCCCTCGCCCGACATGGCCGCCATTGCCATGGCGCCCGACGCCCATGCCCGTACCCGCACCTAAGATGGCGGGAGCGGGTCGTGCCGCCCCGCTCGTGTGAAGGGCCGCCTCCCGTACCCGCCCCTCGCGTGGGTGTGCCCCGCTGACACCCCGTGTTCCCCGAGGTGCGTTAAAAGTGTATTATGGGAATTTCTGAATGTTGGCGAAGCATTCTGTGTCAGCAGTACCGTAGCCAGCGGGACTCGGAAAGCGATTCTCCTCTCTGTAGTGGTCACCGGCCAGGCCGCAGTTCAAGTGCTGCGTCCAGTTCTGGTCTCCTCAGTTCAGGAAGGACACTGAGGTGCTGGAGCGTGTCTAGCGAAGGGAAAGAGAGCTGGAGAAGGGTCTGGAGCACAAGTCTGGTGAGGAGCAGCTGAGGGAGCTGCGGGGGCTCAGCCTGGAGAAAAGGAGGCTCAGGGGAGACCTTACTCCCTACAACTCCTTGAAGGGAGGGTGTAGCCAGGCGGGGCTTGGTCTCTTTTCCCAGGTAACAAGTGACCATATAAGAGGAAACGGCTCCTAGTTGTGCCAGAGGAGGGTTAGGTTGGACATCAGTAGGAATTTCTTCACAGAAAGGGTGATTAGGCACTGGAATGGGCTGCCCAGGGAGGTGGTGGAGTAACTGTCCCTGGAGGTGTTTAAGGAAACACTGAACATGGTAATCAGTTCCATGGTCTCGCTGACGTGGTGTTGGGTTAAAGGGGTCAATCTCAGGGGTCTTTTCCAACTTAATGATTCTGTGAAGCTGTGAAAATCTATCTGTGTGAAATACATAAACGTACATGCACCACACAGGCCCAGCTCCAGCTAAGATTGAGCTAGTAGATAATGTAAGTCTAAAGTGAAATCTTAATGGTTTAGGTTTAGTATCTTCATCTCTGCACATCTTTGTAGAAAACCAGGAAAACACCTGCAGACAGCACCAGGCTGACATGGTTCTGGCTTTATTTGCATTGCCCAGAGAAGCTGAGGATCCCCCATCCCTGGAAGTGTCCAAGGCCAGGTTGGACACAGCTTGGAGCAACCTGGGCTAGTAGGAGCTGTCCGTGGCAGGGGTTTGTAACTAGAAAAGCTTTAAGGTCCCTTGCAGCCCAAACCATTCTGTGATTTGATGGTTTATTTATTGGTTGAAAGTAGGTTTGTACCTCCAAAGCAGCACAAGTTTTTTGTGCAAGTACAGGGTTTGCTTTCGTTCAGCTCCATAGCAGCTGTCTCTACTGAAAATGCCAAAATAAAAGTACAGTCCCCCTACTGCAAATCACAATATAATGGGCTGCCATGCCCAAGAGCCATAGACTAGCCCAGTACTACCCTACAAGACTTCAGGCTGAGTAAGCATTTGAGTTCATGAAGGAAAAATACAGCTTTCCTTGTGAATTTGTTTTCCCCCGTGCAGCTGTCAAGGCGAGCCTGGTGAGCCAGTGAGCTGCTGCAGCTTTGTGAGCAAGTGTGAGAGCAGCTGGGACAGGGAAGTTGACCAGCTTGGTTGAAATCTGTATTTGCAGAGTACTTGTGTCATTAAAAAAACCTGACATAACAGCACTGGAAAGGTGAGTACCTCAGGGATTTCTTAAGAGATTGAATTCAGTCCTCCACTAGTTAAAAAATAAAAACCACAACAAACAACAAAACATTTGCTAATGCATTTCCCACCAACAGCATTACCTTGCAGCTGGAGAGCCCTTGACTGAGTAAGAAGTGGTTGGTAAGTGATAGATTCTCAGTTCAGCCAGTTCTTCACCACAGTGTTAGAAACCAAAAGAGCTTTTATGTTGTATCAAATGTACTCCAAATGAAGTCTTAGAGTCAGCATAGCCTTCAGTTCTTGTGTTTTCCCTTCCCTTGCTTTATACTTGTTTTTTCTCCCCTCTATGTATTTTTCTTTCAGATGTGGATCCCATGAAAATTTAGTCCTCTCAGCAAAGCTGTAACTGAAATGGGGAAGACCACAACCTTTTATTTAATTTCATGCCTGTGTCTTTTATCTCTGTGCACCTTGGCATTTCCTCCACAGGGAAAGAAAACCCATTTCCTGCAAAGCACTCTTACTCTTGTACATTCTGTCCCATATTTGTCTTAACCACCCACAATGCTTTAGATAAGCATTCAAACTAATCTTTGAGTTGCCCTTCTATACACTGCATATTACATACCTTAGTGTTTGAGACTGCCCTAAAATGGGACTTAAAAGGGAAGTTTTAGCAGCAGCTGGATCATAGCACTATAAAAGAAATGGCTGTGCTTCAGAGTGCCCATGTAGTTTCCCACACAGCCTGCAAACTTGAGACTGAGACCCTTGTTCCAATCCAGTACAAGGAATGTGCTGTTTCCCTTAGTGCTGTTTGTAGATTAACAGTCACTTCCTTGTGAATTGTTATGCAGAGACAACTCAGCAGACGAGGGAAAAAATATAAGCAAAGCAAAATATGAATGCTAAGGAGAGGAATTAATGATACTTGTATTAATACTTGAGATACTTTTGTGGAGCAACTAGGAGAGCAAAGCAATCTAATGTCAGTGAAGAGGAACTGCAGCAATTTGCAATTACTTGGAGTATCCTAGGAATATGACAGGTAGTGTTGCTTTTTTTCCTGAAACTGGCAGGTTCAACCAGAGTCCTTCACTTGCAATTGCTATAAGAGAGAGTTAAGCAGTCATTCAAAATTACAGCTAGTTATGAATTCAAATGACGGAAGCAGAGTATTTCCTGGAATGAAAGTGCGCTTGTTTTTAGCATAATCAGAGGAAAACACCAAAGACCCAGAGATGAACTGAGTAAATAAAATTGTGTAGGGAACAGCCTACAAATGAGACAGTTTTGAGCTTGTAGTGTTAGTGTGCTCAGGCTGTGACCACAGAAGTACACTCACATTGATTCTCCTTGTGTAAACAAGACTTGCACAGCCTTTTGACCAGGGTTGTACTAAGCATCACTCATTACCTATTCCAAATCTCTGTTCCAAATCAAAAGGACATTCAAAAACTCAAATATTGTCTCTTCCTCACATTATCAGACTAGTAGAATGTGCTAAAGTTTGTTATGAAAGCCCAACACTGGCATGAGACGCACTCTCTTCAGTAAAGCGGGATGTTGAGACACAGTGCTGTGAACCGTTCGCATATTACCCAGATGTGCCTGCAGGTATGCAGTTAAATTTGGAAGTCTGGCACACCCAGGATGGTACCTGAAGTGATCTTTCATCCAGCAGAACTGTGCTGCTTCCAAGAGGAAAGGCCATGTGGGAGATAGTGTGGATAGCTGATCTCACTAAAGTCTGTTAAGTGAACCTGAGATCGTGGCTAGCAGAAGGCTGTGCCCTGTGGGTAGAGAGAAATCCTCTCTTTTGCCAGAAGGTTTATGTGCCTGAAGTCTGCTGAGGAACTACCAGAACACAGATTCCTCCTAAAGATGGGACCAGAAGAGCTTTGGCCCATCAGCTCCAGATGCTGTCAGTGGCAGATTAAGAAGGGGATTGCAGGTTGCACACACAAGGAAAGAGGTTGGACAAATGGACCCAAGGACCTGTGGAATGAAAGGCGGGGGGTGCTGTGCTAGGTACATATTTATTAGGGACAACAGTGGAACTGTATTTAATAACATCAGGGTAATTTATTTAATCATATCCACCCAATGCAATGGGTACATCAGGTCACGCAGAAATGTGTCACTCTACAACATCCTTGATTTAGCCAACAATTGCTGTTTATATCATTTCAGGATGTTACAATTTTCTTGAGAGACAAGTTGACTAAAGAAAAGGAGCACACATAAAACTGTAGCCAATGCACTTTAACTGAGTTCTTGCTTTACTGTAGAAAGAAATTGCACTCCTTTCTTTTTTTTTTTTTTAATTAAAATTAGTTCATTATTGCTTACCAGTTCATCCTACTGTAGCAAACTAGGATGCTTATGACACACATCTAGGAAGAGAGACACAGATCATATTTTGCCCAGGTGCAGGAAAGAAATTCCATTGTCCCCTGACCAGAACTGGTTTGGATAGACATGTTTAAATTGCTTATATATTCTGCACAGAAGTTCTCACTTACTTTTTTGTCATGTTATTTCACTAGTTGTCTTCCTCCTGTAGAGAAATACTTAATGCTTTAAGCTAAATGGAGAATATAGGTATGAATTGAAAAGATGACTAAGCGGGTTTATTTTATGGAAAAAATGAAGTTTGTAAAACAAACCTTACCTACTGCCCCTTCCCATTTGGTAATTCAAAAGGATGGCACTCCCGTACGTTTTCCAAATATGAGCTTTGCTCATGATCTAACTATACAGTTAAAGCAGTACCTTAAGTAAGGTCAGTAAGTCATAAATACGATATCCTGTAAAAAGCCAAAGGCTGTTTGCTGCACCACACACAATGGAAGTGCTGAAGAACCAGACAGCCTGGAGGCACAAAGCAGTACTGGAAGCAGCTCAGTTAAAACACAAGGAGAGGAGAGAAAGAGGGGAAGGGAGGTGCTCTCTCTTGACACCCAGAACATCCTGGTAAGCAATCCAAAAAAAAGAAGGAATGAAATATAGAGAAACCCAGAAAATATAAAGAAACACTGAGAAGAATGAAATATAGAGAAACACTGAGAAACCCAGACTGAGAAGTCTCAACAGTATTACGAGCGAGTGCCTTGCTGCCTCACTGCCCAGTTGCCATAATGATCGTGAGAGATAAAAAATCCAGGAAATGCAGCCCAGGCTCTACTGTTTTCTTTCTTTCTTTCTTTCTTTCTGTCTTTTTTTTTTCTTTTCTGAGCACCATACCCTCCTAATTTACTGTCTGTGCACAGAGGATTTCTGTGTGCAACTGGTCCTAGAAACAGTGCTATGAGGAGTTTCCTGAAAATGAGCCCATGTCTGCTATCCGTAGTTATTTAATTGCAGTAGATCCACTTAAATTTTATAGAGATACTCTTCAGAAATTTCTTGGTACACTGGTAAGCTCTTTACTGTTGCATTACGAGACTAGAAAAAGAAAATGAGCTTTGTCTAAAAATATTAATTACTCATCAGCAGTGAAAATTACAGAATTTGCAATTCTAGAGAAATCACTTGCATCTTTATACTAGCCAGCATAGCTCTTGTAATTATAGCACGTTATCCTTCTAGATCATGGACTAGTCACACACTTTTATGTCTTTCTTCAAGTAAGGCCAGTGCCCCTAGTTGGCCTCCCAGGACTTGTCTAAACGTAGATATTCCAAAAAAATGTAACCTGGAGGAATTAAAACTATGAAATAAGAGTGAACTATTTTAGTCTCTGTTCTACCATTATGTGGAATGAGAAAAGGTTAATAAAACACTAGCTAAACTGAATTAAAACCTCTTAAATTTCAAATAGCGCTGCCCCTTAGGGATTTGAAGTAGTTTTAAAATAATCATAATTTGATACAATTTTCCTGAGAGTCTTTGTGTAGTTATAACCTTGTATGAGTGGTACTCAGACTTTCCAGCTAGACAGGCCATTTCTCTCTTGCAGTTATCAGACCTTTAGTTCCAGAAGTGCTCACCTAAAATTTGCAGTGAAAGAGAGCAGAGAAATTACTAACTCTCTGTGCCTCTCACACAGGCAGAGAATTTGTTTGTGAAATCTGCCCAGTGACCATACAAAATAATTTTACTACATTCTGAAAGGGAAAATTAAAAGCATTCCTGCAGTCTCTGAGGGTCAATTCCTTCTGACTCTTAGCTTGGAAATCTTCTGGTTTGCCTCTTCACCCCATTTTCTTTTTTTGCAGCAGTATCTTTTTTTTAGCAAAAAGTCTGTTCCAGACCAGTCTTCTATGTTGCAGAACAGAACAAGTAACTGAGAACCAATGTATTTTAAGAGATATTTTGAAGAGCCACTGGACTCTGAGTCTAAATGACAATGTTTGTCCCTCTCTTTGAAATACTCTGCAGTCTATAAGAGTCAGAATGCTGGAGCAAGACGGGAAGGAGGTTGGATCCCCAGAGCATATGCAACTACACTGACCAAGATACATCCATTTCTCTGTCATCACAGTTAAAGTCTTTCTGAAATTCCATCATCATTTAACACATCACCATGTTGGCTCACACTACTGTTTTTTTAGCCCTACCTAATGATTTGCTCAGAGAAGCAAAGGAAGCATAGAAAAGCTTTGTGTGTGTGCCCAGTACTCTCTAAAGTGAACTAGACTACAGTAAGTGTTTCTGTCATCTTCAGATGTGTGCAGTGTGGGTAGAAAAGGTTACAGGAATAGTAATAATTTATCTGCAAGATGAATTAGTTATTAGAATACTCCTGAAAAGTCTTGGATGCAGTTGTATATAGGAGACTCTGTAGAGGGAAAGCCTGGGAAACACATGAACAGTGGTTAGTCCTGAAGAAATAACCAAATGCACAGACCAGGGTGAAAAGGAGATCATAATATTTTAGCCTTTTTAGAGAACATTAACTTACCCTAGACAGCTAAGCCAGCATGAGTCCATCCCCACTGGAGCTGTGTTTCCTTTAACTACTGTTGTCTAAAGTTAAACACAATAGCCTTGACATATAAGGTCATAATGTCTCCAGTGAACAGCAAAGGACTTTGAACACTTTTTGTCCCCAGTGACCAATACTGAGTCTGAAAGAAAAAAAGATAAAGCCACTTTATGTAATTTATCATCAGTATTGTATTTCTCTTCAAAACAGACATTAGAAATGTCTGCCGCTTCTTAAAGAAACAATATGAGCAGGAAATATTTACTGATTTACTGGGGGGGGAGAGGTTTCCCCCTATAAAACCTTAGTAAGGAAAGAAAAGTATTTTAAAATTTAGCTTTTGAAATGAACAGCAGATACCTACAAGAAGAACATAGCTATTGTGCAGCTGACAGTACAGGAATAACCACGTAATTTTTATCATCTGGTATCTGTACATAAAGGAATAGTACTGTCACTAGAGAACTTCTCAGAGTGTTTGTGGAGGAGGCACAGCCTTTACAGGTTATGGGCATACTGGTACAACAGGTTATGCTAAACACATTATTCCTTCCTCCTGCTAGAATGCAGTCGCTTTGGATTTTTACCTAAGGAGATCAGGCTTGCAAAACGTTTTGGTTTTTTCTACTTCTCTTCTTTTTTTCCTTCTTTCTGTCTTTTGACAGATTCCTCCCTGCCCCTAATAAATGTTGAACACACTTCTCAAATTTCATTGCAACTGGCTGAAGGAAGCAAGTCTCAAACAAGTTTACTGCCATGTCCTTCATGCAGCCTCTTGCAGAGCAGAGAGATGAACATCTCCATCCTTCTGGGTGCAAGCCTTCAGCTCACTCCAAACAGGAAGCTTTTGTTTGATTTGCTGGCTGGATAATCAGAACATGCAGCTCAAAGTCAGCTGGAGTATGCACACTCTCATGCCCTGGCCTTGGTGAAAACATGAAGCAGTAGAACTACTGTATGGGAGGAAAGCTAAGGAATCAGGAGCGGGCAAGGAACATGAGACAGGAGTAAGGATATTTTGACAGTGATGCACAGGGCACAAATATCACAACTCCATAAGAAACGAGGCTTCTCAGTTCAGCAGCCCCCAAGACCGTGAATTTCTGCTGTGCCTGCACATTGTGCAAGTATCTAAATATCACCTGCCTAGCTGGTCCTGCCTCTCACACTCCTGTTTATGAAAAGCAGGAGCTGTACTTGATCTCAGGCAAAGCACAACAAAATATTATCCCCATTCCCTTGCACAAATGCTCAGTGCCATCAAGGCTGTCAAGAGTGGATAGCAAAGGGGAAAGGTGCTTTGGCAACAGAAAATACTCAAATCTGAACAGCTGGGCTGAACCTTCACTACTTGGATAAATCCTCACCACAAGATTTTTTTTCTGGTTATAGTTTTTCAGTCTTGTCCTATTATTATACAGGCTGAATAATTTCATAAGTTACTATTTTTCTGAGCATTTCAGGTTGCAGTTGGGTTACTGCACAAGCAGTTTTGTCCCCACATGTTAATCTCTGCTTTCCCTCCCTGCTATGCTGACATAGTCATATGGTGTGGGGAGCTGATGAGATAAAGTGACTTGGCCAAGAAATAATCCATAATAAGATTGTTTTTTCAGCCAGATCTGTCTCCCTTATGCTCATGCACAGCAGGAGACAGCACCATGATAAGAATGGAGTAGTCAGGAATGACAGGCTTCCACTGTTGTTCTGTGCCACAGCCCTCAGATCACTTGAGGCTCTTCCCACTCAGTCTTTTGGGTCCAACAGAAGCTGTTTTAAAGAACTAATGTTTAAGGATGAAAGTCAAGTGTTCCCTGAAGAGCGCGTGCAAGTGACTAAAGTGAGAGCAGGGAAGCCTGTACAGAAATCACACAAAAAATTACACAAAATTTCAATTACTTAACTATTTATTCCCAAAGAAGAGGCACTCTGGCCCATTCTTTTTCATTTACTATCTCAAATTGTTCTGCTGGCTGAAACACCATCTGAAATGTAGTACTGGGTGCAATGGGACATGTTTCTGCTGATGTTGCTTAATAGTCACTTTTCCATTTGCTCACTGACACAGAAGTGGAAAAAATATTTTTTTTCCTCACAAATTCTGCAAGTCTAGTCCTGGGAAGAACATAGTAATGGACCTCTTAGGAATGTATGCTCTCTGTCCCACCCCTAGTACTTTCATACACCCTTCTTTCTCTGTTCTGTTTCAGGATTTGTTGTTTTTCCAATGCATCAACTTTTGAAGGCATGAGAGTATTTAAGTGGAAGGTAAAGTATGAATCACTGTCATTAAAAACAGAAAAAGAGGCAGAGGTGGCAAAAAAGGATTTTGGAAAGCAAATCATCTGAGAAACTGTGATTTCTTCTACTGTCTTGCCTCATTATTTTCAGAGAACAACATCCATCTAAGTAAACTGGGGGACCTTTTCCTAGGAAGTCACTATAGGAACCCAACTGTGATGCTCGATTGCGTTGTTTATTATGAGCATTACTGTTCCTCTGTTTTCCCCCCTCTTCTTCCACATTGTTTCTGCAAGAAGTCTTAGCTGTGAGATGGCTTTTGCCAGTACTAAAAATAAGGATCGCAGGCATGGACATCTGAGTTCCTTTGTTCATCATGCTTATTAGAAAGGATGATAGAAATTGCTATGCTAAAATTAAAAACATACCTCATGCTGGAAACTTCTGGTTACAGAACTGGGCACTAGCAAAATTCTAGCTGTGCTAGAATTGTGTTTTACTGAAACAACCTAAGGGATCTTTTTTCTTGGTGGTTGGTTTTTGTTTTTTTTTCTTTTCCCCACAGATTTTTCTTAGACCTACAAGAGGTCAGAGCCCAAATACGTGGACTTGCGTTTTCTGAAGCTCCAGGCACAAAACTACGTAGTTTTTATAATGAAAGACAGAAAACTTTATGTGAGGCATATTTCAGGTGACTGTAGTTAATTAGGTATTACGGTCACAGGGCTCAAAAGTGTGTGTAGAACAAGGAAGTGGAACATGGAGAGGAGGAGGACAGGGTGGGGAGGGGAAGTAAACACGTCAGTGGCAGGTCTGGATCAGTTTGGTAAAATGTTTGAATCCTGAACAGCCTGACACAAATTTTGGTGTAGCTAACGAGCCTCCCCGCTTGACCCGTGAGGAGGTTACTGACTGAGACAGTGAAAGTTTCGTGCTTCCACCTGTGACGCTTTACACGCACATAAAGAACCAGCTGGTGACTCGTAACATTGAGTTTCCACTCGAGCTTGTGGGGTCCCGGTGATCTTCCCCGCCCCAGAGAGAGGCAGGAGGTCCAGAGCATCCACCAGGTCCCGGCGGGGGAGGGCGATGCGGATCCCGGTGGGGCACTCGGCAGAGGGGACAGAGGTTGACACCTGGCAGAGATTACTCCTGGCTGGGGACGGGCTGCGGGAGCTGCGCTGCCCATGCGGGAGTCCCGCCGATGGCGATGGAGCATTCGGGGACCGCCGAGCAGGAATGAGCAGCTCCGGCTGCGCTGCCGTCTCCACCCCGGGCATCCTCCCGGGGCTCCGGCAACTCGCCTTTTGCTCCTGAACCTGCATTCACTGGCCGGTCCCGTCCCCGGTTTTCGGTAACCCCCTGCGGCCATCTCCCCTTCCCCTCCTTTAAGCGTCCCTATGCCGGCGGAGTCACATGTTTGGTCTTTGATGCCTTTAATCCCACCCTCACCGCGCGAGAGGGAGGAGAGAAATTCGCGGAAGAGAAGTGAGCCACAAGCCCAGTGCCAAGATAGCGGCGGGAGCGGAGCTGCGAGCGGGAGGGAGGCGGGAGCGGCGATGCGAGGCTGCCCTGCGGATCGGGTAAATCTCCCCGCCAGGATCGGGCTGTCCTGGGTGTTTGGCTTTCAGGGGTAAAGGGGCGGCCTCACCGAGGCTGGGGGGAGCAGGGAAAGGAAGGGGGCACGAAGTTGCCGGCTTACGAGCAGTGGGGAGGGGCGTGATCTGCGGGAACCGGCGGGGCTGGGCTGCGGTGGCTGCGGCACCGGAGCCAGCAAGGCAGGGAAAAGCGTCCAGTGATCGAGGAGATCTGTTTGTGATTGCTCCGGGGATGTGACTGTACATGGTGACGAGCAGGAGGGCAGGTGGTCAGAGCCTGGCTGGGCCTAAATAAACGGCTCTTCCGTTAGGAAAGGTTGGTAGAACTCTTAAGGAAAGAGGAATAAACCCAGCCGGCTCCTGCCGCCTGCTTGGTGCCACCCAAACCCTCAGCCGAGGCAGAAGCGTGGCCAGAATTTCCCTGGTCAAAAGCCCGGGTAAGGGGGCTGAAGACGGGCACACTGAAGTGCCATGTGCGTGTCCTGCCTGGCAAGGAGGGCAGAGAGTGGAGGTGGGATCAGCTTTTCTTATCTACCGCTCTCTCCTCTTTGACCATCACCACTGAGGTAACTGCTATTAATCCCAGTGCTTTAAGGGTCACCTTGTGCTACCTGGCAGCTCTCCCAATGGGAATGAGGAGCACCTAAGAAACCTGATGGTGGAAGTCACTGACATTTAAAATCAAAGGCTGTTTAGGAAATTTGCAGGTGCTGATGGTGCAGCAAAACATGAAACTATACCCGTGTACACTGCAGATTCATAGGCTTGCTTGCTCTCATACAGTCACTGAGAAAATCATTTCATAGAGGTACATGAGGTTCAGCAAGCAATTGCAAGCACAAAAGCCAGGATAAACACCCTCCTGTACATGGGAAATCTGCTGCTTGCTTGTCTGTCCAGCAAGGGTAACACTAATTATACCACAGATTATTTATCAGCTACTGCATTTATCACATCTTCCTCCCTTGGGACTCAAGCAGATCACCAGTATCCCAGAGAACCAGGGCATCCCATTTACCAAGCCTTATGCAAGATAAATAGTCTGTTTCATACATTGCAGGGGGAGGGGAGGAAGACTGTGTATTCATCAGGCACAGGTGGTGAATACAGAGGAAAAGTTGGTAGATTAACATTTAGCAGAGAGTGTCTCTTAAAAGAGGAATGTTTTTTGTCAATATGACTAAACATTTTTTCTTTCAGACAAAGGTTAGGTCCAGTATTCTGCTTGTTGCCTGGTACAGTTTTGCATTTTGATTGTTACATGGACCTGTCCCAAGTGGAAACTTACAGCCTTATTATCAAAGGCCTTTGCTCACAAAGCATTTCCTTATTACTGTGCTTTATTCTTTACAGTCATAAATGAACAACAGTAAAGGTGCCACATCTTTTGTGTTAGCAGCCATCACCACATCTATTTCCTCTTCCCCTTTTATACACCCACAGCTCTACTGTTGCAGGTGAATTTTTAAGGGAAGTCATCATTATGGGGATAATAAAAGGGTTTTATTAATGATTAGATGATAGTCAAATGGTAATTAATCAATTATTTAATGATAATGAAATGATAAATGATTAAGCAGCAATTGAATGATAATTTAATCACAGTTTAACAATGATTTTACAATGATAAAAAGCTCTAATTAAATGGTAATTGAACAATGATGTAGTTGATGATTTCAACAATGATTTAAATAATGATTATACTTTGCTACGTATTCCACTTCTAAAGCTATAGCCGGACATATAAATGTCACTAACATACAATACAGTTTTAGGCTTAATGCAAAATGTTCTTACCTCATTATAGATATCAGATGCCAGGTAAGGAGGTCTCTGCTCCTCAGGAAGTAACCTTGACCTATCACCACCATGCCATACAGGAGAGCTCCCTGGGCTCACAGAGGCTACAGGTATCCACAGCCTGCAGTGACTGACATGTAGTCACCCCAGTTTGGTGTTCATGCAGGAGTGGAGCTGTAAGCAGTTCTAGTTTTGTCTAGTCCCCTCTCAGGCTGGTACTGTTTGCTCTTGATAAGACATGAATTCCTGAGAGAACAGGGCCTAGCACAGTCACAGAGCGGGTAACTTTGGAAGGGCCCACAGTGGGTCATCCAGTCCAAACTCACTGTTGCAGGGTCATCCCAGAGAACATTGCACAGGACTGTGTCCAGACAGTTCTGAAATATCTCCAGTGAGGGAGACTCTCTAGTCTCTCCAGGAAACCTGTTGCAGTGCACTGTCACTCACAAGAAGCTCTTCCTTACATTTTGATGAATCTTCTGGGCATCAGTTTCTACCTGTTGCCTCTTGTCCCCTTGCTGGGCACCCCGGAGCAGAGCCTGGTCCATCCTCTGACCCCTCTCTGCAGACACTGACAGACATTGATGAGGTCCCCTCTCAGCCATCTCTTCTCAACACTGAGCAGGCTCAGCTCCCTCAGCCTTTCCTCATAAGAGAAATACTCCAGTCTCTTAATCATCTTCTGGAGCACAGGTAGTTTTTTCACTAGTCTTTCCAGTCAAAGGGAAGGGGGTTTGAAAACGCCAACCTGTTGAATTTGGCAAGTCATTAAATGGTTACAGGACTGGTGCCTCAGCCAGGGGTTCAGCTTAGACTGTAGGACTCGCTTTGAGAAACCCAGTCTGCTGAGGTCTGCTGGGGTCCCCAGCAGGGAGGGGAAGAGCATCTTTGGCAACAGGCTTGCCAAGTTGGTGAGGGCTTTAATTTAAAGTTGCTGGGGGAGGAGAACCTCAACTCATCCCAATCCTATCAGTTTAAAGCCAAGCTTGCAAGAGATGCCCAGAATGGGATCACAGGTAAGCAGGAAAGCCCCTGAGTGGCAGCACAAAGGAATTCCAGGCACTCCACCCAGTCCTTGGCCTTCATCAAAGCCCAACTCAAGTGCCTCTGCACAAAGATATGGGCAATGGACAAGGGGAGTTAGAGACTTACACTCACCTGCAGGGCTGTGATCTTACTGGCAAAGTGGTGGGATGGCTCGTGACACTGCAGTGTTGGAATGGAAGGACACAGGCTCTTTAGGGAGGGCAGGTGTGAAAATGAGGAGTGGGGAGTCATGCCCTGTGTCAATGACCAGCTGTGCCTGGGGATGGATGAGGAGCTGACCAAAGGTGATGAATTAGGATTAAGGGAGAGCAGGGATGGGTGAATTTATTAGGTTCTGTTCCAGGCCACCCTACCAGGAAGACTGAGTGGACAAGGCCCTCTGTAGACTATAGAATGCAAATTTTTCATGACAGGAAAACCAGGCTGATATGCTACATGAGAAAAACAGATTCCCTCCTATCTTTTATATTCTTCAGCTGAGGATCCACTAAGGCACAAATTGCCTCTTGTGTTTGTGTGCAGTATGCCCTGCAGCCTGCAGGGGCCCTAGTTTTATTCTAGCAAAAGGCTATGACACAAGGAGTTAAATGCAAATTATCTGTATCATCTCTGATGAGTCAATGCACATTTAGCTCTGAGATTCTAAGAGCAGACAGCAAAAGGTAGAAAGCTGATACCATTATTAGCAGCAATATTGTTTAAGATAATTTTTGTTGTTTTGTTTTTGTTTTTTTAATAGAGTCTTACATTTTATACTACAGCAAACATTTAAAATTTTGTAGACCTTCATGAAAAAACACAGCAGTTTTTAGACATCTTTTATCAAATTCCCTAACATACCCTTTTTTTTACCTCTGGCACAAAAGAAAAATGTAACTTCAGACAGATATGGATTGCGTAATTAATTTTAAAACCACATAAACCTTTGCGTCATCTTCTAAAAGACAGCTCCTCACAAACCTTAAGTCTTTCTGTTTAGCTGTTATCTTGCAGAACTCTCTTCTCCAGGCTGCTTTCCATTCCCACTTGATCTGATCTACTTTACTGCCTGGTAGCAACACAGAAGAACATTGCATTGCAGGCAGGCTGCCAGGTAAAAGTCAGCAGCTGTTGAGAATGGGCTCCCTTAAGGTTTATATGGCAGAGGAAAATTAATGTACATGAGAAGCAAGATGGAAATTGGGGAAATAATTGTAATTAATATATATCCAGTTCATAGCCTGTTTCACTGGTGGCATAGTTTTATCCTGTTAGTTCAAATGAAATGGAGAAAGTATCATCCAGCTGCCACATCCACACACCTCGTTTCTTAGTTCAGTAGCCAGTAAAATAGAATCAAAAAACAACAGCTGATATCTTATCACTAAGGTCCTGCTGATTGTTTTTAAAGCACAGCTCCTTTTGTTTTCTAGGGAGCCCAACTACCAGTTTGGCATCTGATTGTAATGGTCAGATCTGTAGGTGCTTGGCTTCTACTGGACACTGCTGTCGTCAAGGCAGGCCTGACACATTGCAGAAATATTGTCTGGCACCTGACCTACTAAAAGCTGTCAGAAAACAAGGGGAATTGCAGATGAGAAAAGCTGGCCATCTGGCCCAATAATAGGGATCAGCTCATGGTAGGGACTTCAGGTTTCAGAATTCGAGGATATCTGTGCACCACATTCAGCTGTCAGCATGCATATAGGGAACAGGAGGAGGTCTGTGTGGCTCTTTGTGAAGCTGCATCAGTTTCCTCAGATTCAAGCAAGATTGTCACACCAAGACAAAGGCCTTGTCTCTGCCAGAGGGAGTTAATGAGTAGAGATCTGAGTCCTGAGCTTGCAGCTGGTTTGTGTGATCTTAGGCTGGGGCACAGAAGTGTTTTCCACACAAAGGTTTCAACTTGAGATGCTGCTATAGGATCAATTCGCAAGTGAAAACTACAGCTCATATGAACACCTTTACTTCTGCCACTGCTGTGGCTCAGGTGGGGACTGTGACTGCCAAACTTTCTGTGATATTTTCCATGCCTTTGTTTCTCACAGAAACAACCTCGTAGCTTTTGACCCCACAACTTCATTCAGCTGTTTCCGTGGTAGGAAAGGAACATCTTTTCCCATTGACACTGAGAACTGTAGATAGGCGAAAAGGAATCATTTAATATTGTAATTTTAAAGGAATAGTTGTGTCCTTGTCTCATGGAGCAGGGAGTAGAAGGCAGATGCCCTCTCTTACATTAGCTAATCAGGAACCTAAAATTTTTGATGCTTTGAAACATGTAGGAAACTTTTTTCCTGCCTGTGGGAATACCTCTGTGGAGAGGAATTTGGACCAGATGGAAAATCAGCTTTCTCTCAAAGCACAAACACAGCAGACGGTGTTCTGCACTCCAAAGAGGATATTACTCATTTTTCTACTCTCCCTCGTGTGTGCAGAGGTGACTTTTTCCTGCACAGTATAATTCAGCCAAGGATTTAAGGGACTAGTGAAGCTAGGAACATAGGTTTGGAATCAGGTGTTTGTGGAAGGGATCTTCATCATGAGGATCTAAGAAAAGGAACAAGCAACTTCTGTAGCTTTATATCACCACAACTTCTAGATATGTTTAAGCAATGGCTCAGCTCTACACAGAACGTGAATAAAGCTGATCTCCACTGCAAGTATTTATATGTTTGCAAAGTAATTACTACTCAGGTTTAATATAGTGGGATTTCTTAAAGCACTATAAAATCCAATTCTGATTCTTGGTTTTTCCCTCAAACTTCATTTTGTTTCTGTCTGAAATGCCTTAAAGAAAAACAAGATTTTTTTTTTCCCCCTAGAAAGGGAAGAAGATGAAAATGACTGTACCAACAGTTTCTGAAAACAGAGTGGCTTCTGTGAAGTCAGAACCATCCTAAAGGATAGAAAACAGCCTGAACAGAAACTCTGATTTAAATCCTGCGGATAAGATCAAACTTCACCTCTGCAGAAGTAAGACATTTTTTATCTATATGGGAATTCTCAGGTTCCCAGTCTTACAGACAGAACATGGGAAGGAGGTCAGTGTCTTCCCACTTTTCGAGATCCTTCAGCTTGGTTTTTGCATGAATTGCAAAAATTTGACCGGATTTAATATGCTCCTGACCATTTTTAACCTCTGTGGTCATTTCACTGCCCAGGGAAAACAGCCTTTTCCTCTACGAATACAATACGAGTGTGGCAGTCTGTGTGACTGCAAACAGCCCAGGCAGCAGAGGAAGACTGAAGGAGTTCCAGAAGTGTGTGTGTGTGTGATTGTTGTTTTCCTTGAGGCTCTCTGAGTTGCAGAACCAGGATAAGAGTTCTGAGATCCTGAGTTCAGTTACTGATGAGGTGAAGCCAGGGTTAAATCATAAATTCTTGTGACTGTGGCTGGCTTCCAGTCCCCTTTTCCAGGGGCAGCTACTTCCTTGTGTGAAGCAGGAGATACCTCCAGAGATGGTGATGCTCCCCTGCACCACCTCACTCACCCTGTCCCAAGCCAGGAGCTGGGACACCAGCAGATGGAGTCCCAGCACCACTTTCCCAACAGGAAGGGTGGGTGGAGAAGGGACTGTTGGGCTTCAGACTCTGTGTGAGTCCCCCTGCGGGGGCCTGGGAGTCACCTTCAGGTGAGCCTCACCCTTAAAAAACATGGGCTGCAGAAGAGCAGGACCTCAGGTGAAAATCTGTTTGATTCATCTCATGAGGCTGCAGCTCCTCCAGTTCTGCTGGCCACCAGGGAAGACAGGACACCCCTTTTTCCCTCTTCAGAAGAAGATGGTATAAGGGAAGGAGGCCTCCTTGAGTGGTTTCGCTTAGAAGGAACCTTAAAGACCAGCTAGTTCTAAGCCCTCCAGTGAGGGATGCCACTCACTAGACCAGGTTGCTCGGAGAATTATTAATAAAAAAATGCTCAAAGAATTATTAATGTATATTCATATATTCAGTGTATATCCCAAGAGCTCACTGCTGTCTCACAGGTTTTTTATCTCAGATCTTCGGCACAGCTGGCAGGTGGAAAGTAAACTTCTTTACTTCTGACAACTAAACTACTTTCTAGCTTTTCTTCATCTCCTTTTCCCACTGTGGTCCTCACTTTCACATTTGGAGTCTGTCTCAGATACAGTGCCCACAGTAATGCTCATATCAAGAGGAGACTTAGCAGTACACCAGTGTGAGTTGTAGAATATGATTCTGCATTTGTGTGTTTCCTTAATGCTTGTGACAGGTTAGCTGGAAAGCCCAGGACTTTGGATGAATAAATGGATTTAAATGCCAGGTCTTTGCATCTGATAGATTTCAGGTCTTCATGTCCTGAATCCTCATGACATGGATTTCACAGCTGAAAGGCAGCCATCACCTTTAAGGCCTTTACGAGGTCCACTGGTACAATGCAATGCAGTGTCTGTGAAACAGGATTGTATCACAGTTGTTTCAAAAAGAAAAAAAAAGCTATGTGGGTGCAGATTCTCATGCATCAACATTTATTTAATTACTCTAAATCTTTTCTTGAATCATAAGAGAGCACAACACTGACACCACAGTCTATTTAAGGATACCTGTTCTCTATCAAATATTTGGAATAACTCCTGTATATTTTCCATTAATCTTGTTAAAAGGCCTTTCATAGAATGTTTTCACATTCCCATATGGTAATAGGAAAAAGTTCTGTGAATCATAAAACCAGCAATTCTGTGACTACAGTAATGAAGGCAGTTTTGAAGTTCCCCCAGTCAGATCCTGATCTGTCTCCTCCAAGTCATTTCTTGTACAAGATCCATTTTTCTGAGACAGAAGAGAAAAGCCATGATTTCTTTCTACCCACCCAACATTGCTTAAGCTCCTTCAGATGGCAGTGCAGAGAAGAACAAAGAGTAACATTTGGTCTAGGAGCACCACTTGATGATCAGAACTTGCTGAAGGCAGAAGGTAAAAGTCAGAGAAGCTCTCCACTGAAGACCCAGTGCACTCAGTCAGCTCAGTGAGGGGGTATGGATAACTCAGTTCAGAAGGAGAGGGAATAGGAAATTAAAGGGAGAATGAAACAGCAGATTAAAAAGGGAGATTAGTGGCACAACAGAATTTATCTGTACAGCCTAATTACCCTGATTTTGTGTAAGCTTCTGACAGACAGGCTGTGAGGTGTTCATGGCAGCCAGAGAAGCAGAACAGAAAAGCCAATTGTGGCAAACTCTGACTTTTGCAAAGGTGGATGTTTATTTAAAGTGTGTATCTGTACAAAAAAAATTATATATTTATATGAATGTTTCAGTTTTAAATAAGAGGCATATACTTTTAAATAGCAAACTTTTAAATAAGAAATATGAGTCAATGGCTCAATTGCAACATCTTGCTGTGCCTGTGTATTTCACAGGGTGTAGCAAGGAGGAGACATCTGAAAGAGACAGACAGGCACTCAGGCACACGCATTACACTTAGCATGTACATGGGCCCTTGGTGAAGTAAATTGGTGTCTTTGTTATCTGGCTTCACACTCCAGGGAGGAAAGTGAAAAAGCAGGCGCTTATAAGTGTGTGAGCAACAGAAGAGAAGCATGTGTCGTTCCAGAGAGGTAAAAGTTTGTCTCTCAAATGCCTGCTAGGCTAAGACACAAGGGGTTTGGCTGTGATTCTTGGCTGTAACACAAATCTCACTGTGTCACTGTGACCAGAAAGTGGTATCTGAGTTCTCTGCCTTTAACAGGAAAGGATTTCCACACATCCTCCATTCACATTGTCTGTCATTATGTGTTTGAAGCACAGTAACAAACACAACAAAGTCCTGTCGAGCTAAGCTGGATCAGAGCTCCTACATGATGAAAAGGCCTTAGGGGCACTTTGCTGGAAACTAAGTTTGACTCATCTATCCTAAACCAGGACTATTCTGTGATGGCCCCACCACAAGGGACTCCTAAAGGGCTGTGTATTTTGACTTACTCAGTGACTAACCCCCTGTTTTCCATTTTCTCTGTCAGTTCCTATTTCAGTAACCATAATTTTTCTTCCTTTCTAGGCTTGGACAACTTGTGCAGGTTTGGCAGCCACTGCCCCGGTGATAGCTTGCTATCCAGGGAGGAGCATGCACTGGAACTGAAGGATTGAGGGATGAACAGCACCGGAGTGCCCTCCTTCTGCAGCAGTTATGTTACACCAAGCCTGGCAGCTCTGTGGGAGGTGGTGCCGCTGGTCCAGCTCTGTTGTCCATCTTATCATGCTGACTGTGATGACGTTCGGGGTGGTTGCCCCTTTGATTTGCCACCGGCTCCTCCACTCCTATTTCTATTTGCGGCGCTGGCACCTGAACCCCATGAGCCAGGAGTTCCTGGAGCACAACCAGCAGGAGGGACAGGACGCCCTCCATTACTTTGAGAAGATGCAGATACCAAATGCCTCTGAGGCCTCTGGCAGTGATGCCTTCCAGCCCTTGCTGCTGATCACCATTATCACTGTGCAGAGGCGGTATGATTTCCACTATGTCCTACAAGTGGCCTCCCGCTTCCACCGCCTCCTCCAGGAATGTGGTGCACGCTGCCGGAGCCACCGCGTGCTCCTCTGCAACGTGGAATCAGACCCCAGTAGCCATCAGGATGTCAGATTGCTGAGCAGCTTCTTTCCTATGGTCAGTCGTGACAGAACTGGAGAGAACCCTGACCCCAGAGTGAACCAGTTTGAGAAGGAGAAGCAGGACTATGTCTTCTGCCTTGAGCAGTCCCTGCTATCATACAACCCGCAGTACATCCTTGTAGTGGAAGATGATGCTGTGCCAGAGAAGGAGATATTCTCTGTCCTGCAGCACCTCTTCTTGGCGCGGTTCTCCAAACCATACCTCAGAGATGCTCTTTACTTCAAGCTCTACCATCCTGAGCGGCTCCAGCACTACTTCAACCCGGAGCCCATGAGGATCCTGGAGTGGTTGGGCCTGGGCATGTTGCTGGGGCCGGTGCTGAGCTGTGTGTACTCATGGGCACTGGGGCGGCCCAGCCCCAGCTGGCTGCTCGTGCTGTTCTTTGCTCTGTACAGCATGGCCCTGTCGGAGCTGGTGGGGCGGCACTACCTGCTGGAGCTGCGCCGCCTGCACCCCGCGCTCTACAACGTGGTGCCAGTCACCGAGTGCTGCACCCCAGCTATGCTATTCCCAGCTCCCTCTGCCCGGCGTGCCTTAGGTTACCTGCAGGGGCTGCACTGCCGGCAGGGATTTGCTAAGGACACTGCCCTCTACTCCCTGCTGTGGGCCAAGGGGGAGAACGCCTATGTGGTGGAACCCAACCTGGTCCGCCATGTGGGAATGTATTCCAGCCTCCGGCTGAACAGCAGCCCGAAGCTGCTGTGATCTGTGCATGCCTTTCCAGACACAAAAGCCAGGGAACTTGCCACTGGGCAGAAGGGGAAGTGTGCAACTGGGATATTGTGCTGCTTGCACCAGGCTTCCTGTGCCTCCAAATGGACAAAGAATAACTCTCTTTAAAAAAAACAAAACACAAAGGTTCTTAAGAAAATTAACTGATATACATATAGACCCTATTTAATATATACCATGCACCACCTGGGAGAGGAGTGGATGATCCCAGCAGAAGGTGTGGGTTGCCCACTTACCTTAACTGTTCTTAAAGAAAAGCTCTCACACCAACATGCACAGCTATCCTGCTTACTCTTCTGTACGCTGATTACAAAATTTGCTTTAGGGCAACAGAAATGTGGGACAAAATGAATGTTTTAAATTTAAGCTAATGAGGAAGGGCAGGCCTTATTTCCTCATCCTTACTAAGGTCTGATTGCTGACCTCTGTCTGTTTCAAAGCTGTGGTTTTGAGCAGACCGTTCAAAAGCAGAGGTGGTTTACGGGAACTTCCCCGCAAATTCTGTCTGGATGCTTAAAATTTTATGAAGCCTCTATTAGTTACTGTTTTCCCCTGCAGATCCTATCTGCACCTTCACCCTTCCGATTCTTTTTGTTCAGACCAGAGGCTCTTAAAAATAAAGCCTCTGCTGCTCCATTAATTGTCAACTCTGAGAGTAGGAATAGGAAAACAGAATCACATCCATTGGTGTTGCACAGACAGGTCACAAATGCACGTTTTCATTGATACACGACAGATGTTAATACACATCACAGGATTGATTCCTGTGCTGGTTGGTATCATCACTAGTTGTAGTGCATCTAGCTCATTAAAGGAGGTCTTATCAGTCACTGATTGAACTTAGGTATTCCAGATTAATTTACCTTGCCTTCCTACCAGCACAGAGGCAAAGGAAAGATTAGATCAGGTCCTGCTGTTGTGCAGGATTCTTGTTCATTTTGGAGCTGTAATTCCCATCTCGCCTGAGTGGTTCATTCACTGCTCCTGGCAGGAAGCAAAACACCTGTTATCTGTTATCTCTTCACAAAGACAGGCACCAATAGCACAGTACATCAAGAGGCCACTCTAATAGTGACCCATTAACTTTGTGTGCCCTGGTTGTTAGGCATTTGGATAGGTACTTTGTACCAGGGAGGTGGGCACGGTTAAATATAAAACCATGCAAGTGACAAAAGATCTCATACAGATTGAAAACAGGCAAAAACTGTGTATATCTAATGAAAAGCCCACCTTGGCTATAGTGGGCTTTGAATCAAATTCCACTTATATGTGGAATTTGGTTGAACTGTTTTTAAAAACTCATTCCTAGCTTTAGAGTGAACCACAGACAATATTTTTGTTGAGTTTAGTTGTTTGGGTTTTTTTATTTTGGTGATGGAAGAGTTCTGCTTTGAATTTTCTTCCCGCAGGTCTCTCCTAGGTGATTTATGCCTTAACAGGTCTGCTTATAGGTGTGAAAGACTTAAAACTCCTGAGAAATGAAACCAAAGAAATATCTGTCAGGACACTGTGGGTACCAGTTACACAACACAAACACATAGTGCAGGTTAGCAGAGAAACGGCATCAGAGCAGTGCTTTGCTCTCCCAGTAATCAGATGGAATACTTTTAGGACAGCTTTAGAAATCAGAGGTAAGTAAAAACTGCTGGTGGATTTCATGTCATTCCAAAGGCAAAGCACCTCTCCTGCCAGAGGACGCTGGAAAAATGGCACAGGCAAAATTCCCAGCTGCTGAAAACCCTGAGGATACCAAGGCAGATGGGCAAACATCTTCTCAGGCTTTACACAGGGTCAGGATGACAGGATTTGAGTGTTGTTGTGTATTTATTTCACTAAGTGCCTGCATATGCAACTTGTTTCTGCATCTTCAGCTTAGAATGTTTCACTGCTGACACTCTTTTTCTCTTTATTCTTTTATATCTTTGTGCTATACAAATCCAGGACAGTGTCCTGTTTTTTTCTTGAGGGCCCATTCATATTCATTCTTGCAAAGATCTCACAGTAATGTACAATAAATGGGTCAGGGAATGAAAAAAGGAGGAGGGAAAAGAAAGGAGGATATCTTAGAAAAGAAACCAATTAACTATATACAGTTACTAAATGTTTTCATATGGAGAAATTATTTATCTATTTGTCTCAAAAGTTATTTTCCTTGTTTGTCCGGTAGTACTTTGTCATCCCAAAAGTCCAGGGGGGGTCAATAATTTCACTGAGCCTCAGAGCTGAAAATTGAGAACACGAATTTGAGGCATCCCTTCTAAACAAGAAGACAATTTTCAGGTCATAAGAGATAAGTTGATTGGGAGACCAGACAATATGCAGAGGGCCTGGGGCTTGAACTTGCAAGTGTGAGAGTTTCAGATAAACCAGTTGAGAACAAACTCCTTTGCGCAAGAAGCAGGTTAATTCTTTATAGCCTTCTGGAATGATTTTCTTAAGTGCACAACTCACCTTCACAACAGAGGTGCTGCTTTTACTGAGCCTGCTGGGAGCTGTTTCTGAGTTACTGGTACTTGGGCAGTGCCCACCCTGCCAGTGGGGCATCTCAGGCAAGGGCTCCATCTGGTGCTGCTGCCTTTGACCTATCACAGGTAGAGTGATTTTTGTTCCTCTTTTCTGTGCCACAGGTCAGAGAAGTGTACATCACCCTCAGAACAGAAAATGGGAGGTTACTGTGAATTCTTAATTCCTGTTGGATTTTGTTCTGCAGTTCAGACGAAAAATGCAGTTTCAAATACACAAAAGCCTTTTCCCTCTCTTTTCTATCAGGGGAGAGTGGAGCTGAGTTGCTGTATCACAGGCTATATAAGTTCAAGGCATAGCATTAGCTTTTTGAAATGTGGCCTTAAGATTTTGGTTTCATTCACTTTAAAACAGATTTAGTGACTGTTTTTTAAACAAACTGTCATTTTTCTTGGGTTTATTCCCAATAGTTTGGAGACTATTTTTGAACACAGCTACTACTGCATGCACAAGAGGATTCTTTCTTGATGGGCCAGCAGCAGGACTCAAGGCTTTATTGTCCAAAACAAGTTATTAAATTAGACCAAAACTGCGTTTGTTTCCAAGACATGTCCAACATAAGCATGATTCTGGCAGAACACAGGACATAAAATAACAGGTCTCTCTATTAGATTAGAAGCTCAAGAGGATTTTCTAGCTGCATTGGGAATCAATGTCTTAGTGAGAAGACACTGCATTTGAAAAGAGAAGGGAAAAGCCTTCCTTCCAGTGGTGAGGAGCTGTGAATCACTAGATTGGGTATTTCAACAGCAACTTGTCTGGATGCAGGCTAATTTTTTTTTCTTTTTTTTTTTTTTTTTTTAAATAGTTATTTACAAGCAAACTTTCAACAAAATAAACAACCTTTCTAGTAAAACTCTGTTGTCTGTTCTTTCTGTTTGTATTCCTGACTGAGAGATCCATCTTTCCTTACCAAATTTGACAAAGAAAGATACTTCCATGTTCATGTGATTCCACAGATGTAATAATTTTGATTCTACAGCCACACAGGTTGAAAAAGACCTATGAAGGTCCATGGTCTACTTCCACACTCAAAGCAGGTCTTACTAGAGCAGAGTCCTCATGCTCTTCTCCAATCAAGTACTGAGGCATTTTAGCAGGGACTTGAGATAAAATCGAGCTCTGAGAGCTGGAATTTAACCTTAGCTTACGTTTGTATGGAGAGGGTACATATCTCACAAAATAAGAAAGGTAATTTTCTGTGGGAGACAGTTGTAGCTACAAAGGCATTGGCAGTTTCTCTCCCAAAGGCAGAGTTTTGTTTTATTTCCACACCAGCTTTGCAGACATCATATCCAAATTCAGCAGATGGCAGGGCCCAACCTGTGGTTCTGAATAATCTTCAGTAAAACACATCTGCGAAAAATGTAAAGAGAATTAGGTACTCTGTGGTCTGTGCTTTCTCACTACATGTGTCTCTGTGCTGAAGAAACTTCATTCCCACAGAGTATCTGTCCTCTGGGAGAATCCACCCTATCAGCCACTTTATCCATGCACTTACAGGCCAAGCAACATCAACGTCCCTTTCCACGACTTTGTTCTTCATGGCAAGCCATGAATGCCACTTACGTAGCTGTGTAGCAACAGTGATTTTTAAATGTTGATGATGAAAAATAAGACTTATATTTTATTGCCCTGTTACATAAACCTCTGGACAGCTGTGCCTGTTGTACCTTCTCTTTGAATTTCTGCCACGGTATCCAGTGTTCCTGTAGCAGTGCAGAAACCACATCTACCATGGTCTTTTCAGCAGGCTGATCCATTCCAGACATCTGTTGGGGGTTGTGTTTTGCAAACTATGCGAATATTAACATGCAGCACCTGATTGTGCTTTTTTGGGGGGACTGTGTGCTTACTAGAGAGACAGGTAATAAACAGTTAAGTGTCTCCTACAGAAGCTAGTTGTTTGCCTACTTACTTTTTCAGAAACAAAAGTCAACAGAAAAGCACGGAGACCAGTGTCATCACAGCACTTACCTTCATGTCCTGTTACAGGTGGTTTGCAAAGCCCTGAAACATTGCCTCAGGCAGCCTGATTTAAAGTCGTATCATGGTTTGCTATGCTCACTATTGAAATTATTACAAAGATTTGGGTTCTGATAACAGTGATGTTGTGTGCTTGCCTATTTTTCATTCCAAGTCATGGTGTTCATTGCAGCCCAGCTTTAAGTCGCACAGAACGAAGAGCAAAGCAAACCCTCCCTTGTTCAATCCCCTTGATGGGCTCTGTGGGCATGATTCTGTTCTGCTCAACAACCCCATATGCCCACTATGTTCATGTCTGTGGAGCCAAAAATACAGGGGAATTTCTTTCAGAGGGGTTAAGCCAGGCTCTCCACATTGGGGGTGAAGGCTGTAGGCGAGTGGGGAAAACAAACTACTTAATAAACAATACCTCTGATTAGATAGGGATGAATAAGCTGGACTTTGAGATGGTTGAGCAAGACTGCAGAGTACAGAAAACAGGAAACATCCAGCACAGTGTGGAGAGGTGGGCAGGAGACAGACTCAGCTTGGATTAGACTTTAACCCCGTCACGCAGGCAGCAGCCTCTCGGGGCCACAGAGCCAGGTGTTTTTCATGTGGATGCATATGATTCTTGGACATGCTTCCAACTCCCACTGTATTTTTCCATTCCATTTCAATACCTTTTACAGGTCTGACCACGTCCAAAAGTGTTGATAAGGTTAAATAGTATTTCATTTACAGAGGGAAGCTTTAAGCTTTTAATTTTTCTCTTGGTGACCGTGTCATCTCTGAAATTGCTTCATTTCTTTCATCATTCTTTCTCAGATGTACTACAGTTTGCCTCTCTTCACATTTGCCTATTATTTGTTTTTAAAATGCTAGTTAATTTGAGTAATTAAACGCAAAAACAGTATCAGAATTATTCTGGTAGAACCAGACAGAAAAAACCACAATCTCCAACCTGGAAGAATATAAGCAATTCAAAACTTTCTACCTGTTGCCTTTAAACCAGACTTTCCATTGATTTTAATGTACTTTATCCAGCAAGACTTCACTCAAAATTTCAGTGCAGAACTGGCAGATCCTTAGACAGCAAGGCTGGATGTAAAAAAAGGACAGCAATTAAATTAACTTCTACTATGAAAACCTGGTACTTGCATTGTCAAACTCCAGAAAGCAAACCAACAAATTAAGACCTAAGTAATAACCCAAGCCATCTGTGAATACAGTTTTTGGTATTCTTTAACATTCTAAATGCATACTTCTGTCAACTTTTGTATGGTGATTTCATATGGAAAAGTCAATACGAGCACAATTTCCAAGCCATTCAAACAGAAAATACACTTATGTTCTGCCATAGTTGTGAGAGAAAATGCCAGACATTTGTGTTTTAACTTTAGCAGTCTCTTTTATACCTAACTACTATTTTCCGTTTCATGCTATAAAAGGCACAACAATGAAGATTTAAGCTCTTACTAGTTATGCATCTTGTTTGCAGTGATGTTTCAGACACAGATTTGAGCAAGCTGTAAAGTTTTTTATGTTGCAACACTGTTTATATCAGCTTTCTCATGTACACATAAAAAAGCTATAATCTGTGCAGAAACTCCTCAATCGCTGTATTTGATTAGGTATGTGTATTTGGGGATGAGGAACCCCAGGGATGCATAGAAGACATGGTCCTTCCTCTGAAACTGAACTCCCACTGGCAAACCTGCAAACTGCAAAAGACAAACCCAAGGTACCACCACAATGAGTGGCAACATAAACAGCAATGGATGCTACGAAAGGTGTTTGTTCCACATTTTGGAGCCACTTTGTCACAAAGTGGTTACCCGGACCCCTCAACATTTGTCTGCATGGCATCTGCCTCTCTTTGCCTCTTGTTTTCTTGGTGTTCATGGCTACAAATCCCATCTCTGTTCCCATAATGTCTGGGAATGCCCCCTCTACTCACACCAGCAGACAGCCTCTGTCCAGCCACAGCCCTAGGGCTGCACCACCTTAGTCTGAAAAAGGCTTAAGCAGAAAAAGAAGCCATTAAAAAAATCAGTTGAGTCACTGGAAAGGTGAGTGAACTGGCAATACTGAGTTTAATCATGAACTCCATGACACAGGCTTGCAACTTGGATAATACACCAATTTTTTTCACAGAATGATTATTGCAGGCAATGATTTGTACTTTTTATGGGCCAGGTTAGTTGTTTGGTTAAATGCAAGTATGCTGCATTCCCCTCACAACGCAAGCTTATTCCTCTTATCATTTAAGGATACACAATACCTATATAACCTAATTTTTAGAGCTACAAATATTGTATGATTACTTATGATGAAAGTATGTACTCTTTTCCATTTTAATATCACTGCAATTTCTGGTCATTGTCATGGGTCTGCATGCTAACAGGACCAAACCTTACAGTGACATCATCCAGCATAATTCCTCATTCCATGTTCTTGCCTGAAAAGGCTCCCATTCCTAAACTAAGTGGAAAAGTTAACCATCATGTCCATCATCTCCATCATTAACCATTATCTCCTCACTCCTCAAAATCTCTGCTAGGACCTGTAATGCTAGTGCTTGGAGTGCTGAGTGTTGGCTCAGAAGGTCTAGAAGGCACATATCAGTAATTATCCGCCTGGAAAAAAGATATATATACTTCTGAAAGAGATAAGAATGCAAAGTGGGCTGCAGGAGATTATCTAAAGTGATTCTTAAATGTCAAACACTGATTTTTTTTTCAAGAAGACTCCCACAGATTTTCTCTAATAGGCTGTCAGACCATATCACAGGTGACACTGGGAAAGAAACACTTCCAAGTACTTTCTTCCTGTGACAGTTTCTACCAGACCAGGAGCAACAGGACTGAAATTCTGATTTTTTTCTGTGGTCCAGTATGACACCTTCTTGGTCTCAAGAGGGTCTTAGATACTGTATTTAATTAAAAATATTTTAATCTATATTGGATGCCTCTGTTGTGGTGGAGAAGCTTTAGTACGTCACGGGGTTTGTCTTTCTGCTAGGATGGGAGAAATGGAATGTAAAGTAAACACTGTAAAGCAAGGAAGGCTTTATGTGCATGTTATGTGGCACAGCATTGTTCAGCAAAAAGGTATGGGTCAGGAAGGACAACATTAAAGAAAACAAAGGAACACAACCACAAGGCCTTCAGCTGGACTGCATTCTCAGCTTTTTCACTTTATGCTGACTGTCATAAAATGCTACTGCTGGCAGCATGCAAGTTGCTGAGATTGCCTACAAGTCCAGTAAAGGCTAAAGGTGTCACTGCATGAGCCAAACAAACTGAGAAACTACGTAATTCCCCAGGCAAACACTGGGTCTTTGTGGTAAAAACGTGCCAATGTCCAAGGTTGCTGTGTTGTTGCTGAGGGTATGATGTTTGCATAACAGTCCCTGTGCTGCTCTTCCCTCCAGGAAAACTGACCTGCAATATGGAATATGGGGGGAGAGAATAAAACAAATAATCAGCCTCCCTGTTTGGGGAATAGCTGTAGCGTGGTTTCATGCAAACTGGAGTGCTAATACACTATTTATACAGCATCAGTATTTTTCACAGAAAAATTTTGCTAAGCAACTGAGAAGTTTGTATGTCATTGCCATGTGGGTGGATGTTTCAATGGGATTTTGGTGGAAAATTTGGCTTACAGTTGTGCACCTCAATGTGGGCATATTTTGTCTGATGACCATCATTCTCATGCATACACTGGGTTACAGAACATCAGAGCTTGCTGTTTTATTAACCTTGATGCTGTAGCATCACATTTTGCCTTTCCACATACTAACTGGAAAAGGAAAATATGTTTCCATGCTAAATTTTCCAGTGAGGAAGAGCAGTGTAACACTCATGAAGCCACAGAAATGATACCAGCTCATACCAATTAAAGATCTGTTGCATCGTTTCTGTATTTTGTTTTCTACTCTTCCTTCCTGCACTGAGTGGTTTCCTAAGTATAAGCTTTCAAAAGATCTAAACCTAAACACAAAGCTATGCCCAAGATCCCTGTAAACAATTTCCATGGTTCCTCTTGCACTTCTTTTCGGTCTGTTTTAGGAGGAGGAGGAATAATTTGAAATAACTGTAAAACACCTCCATTTCAGCGCATGGTAAATGGCCTTATATATACACAGGGGAGGGAAAAGGGAAGGAACAGCAGGAGAATGACCAGGTCCCATTGGAGGTGTGTGGTGGTGGTCTGATAGCCAACGACAGACACTGAGCCGTGACACCTCCCCAGTCAGCCTAGGGAGGGAGGAGGGACAATGAAGGAGAGGGGGTGGGAAGCTGTCAAGAATTTTATAAAAGTTAGTGATTAGAAGGACTGGGTATCTTTGCCTGCAAACACCTCACCAGAAGCTTGTAGCAGCAGAGGCACTGCCTACAAAAAAGTAAGTATAATAATTTAGTTTCTAAACTGTAAAGGTGGTATGTATATCAGCAGCTGAGACCTGGCATGTTTATCTACACTGGGCTTGGAAAGTTGTTTTGATGTTGGTTTTATTTTTTTGTTCCAGGAACAGCTTGTAAGAATTAAGCACTCAGCCATTCTGCAGTGGTCTTCCAAAGTGACCTATTTGTTGCTAACACTGGCTTTCTGACTTAGCTTAGTCACTCAGAACTCCTGGAATAAGTGAATCCTTAGTCTAAGGGGACTAGAGCAATATCATACCTGCATTGCTTTCTGTTGCTTCGTTTTGTATTTGGTTTATGCTTGTGGCATACCCAAATTTATGTTTTGCAAGGAGAATAGTAGAAGGCAGCTGGTCCTGACAGGCACCAGTGCTGACAGAAGTGTAATTATGTTGTGTTCATTGTGCAGCTTCTTCTGAAGCATTAGTGCAGTAGTGTGGATAAGATCCTTTGGCAGGGGGGTGTAGGATGGTCTGCAGTGCAGGAAAACAAAACCTGCTTTTGCATTAGGCTGTAACCTCTCCAGCTCTGAACAGACAGCTTCAGGAAATTGCTCAACCAATAAAAATCCTCACTGAGTCTGTGATCCTCCATCACATTCTCAACATGTGCCTAGAACCCAAAACTATTTTTAGCCCACTTGAGACCCTCACCACTGCTTCCCCCAGCCAAGACTGCAATTCTCATGCAAGTCTGACATCATTTTATTACCGTCTCTGAGAAGAGCCCAGCCGTGAAATGGGGGTACATTTGCTCAGAACTTGAGTGTGGCTCTGAGGCTAACATGGGAGTCAGGACAGGAGATAGGATGTGGAACCAAGGTCCCTAGACTGAACTTGAAGATGGTAAAAAAGAATTCACCAAAGAGAGCGAAAAACAACCAGGCAGTTTACCATCAAATATGCCCCAAAGGACCTATCGAGATGGTGAAATAATTATGTCAATCAAAAACATCTGTCCCTTTTTCTAGGTGACAGAAGTCTAAGTATCTCTTTTTGTCCCTTACCCTTGAGACTTTTTAGAACCCAGAAATGAAATTTTGCTATACTAAAACCATCACTGTCAATGCAAAGATGATGGGGGAAACATCCTGTTCTTTCCTCAGAGCTCCTTCCTACATACAGGAGGCACTGCTTCTACTTCGACTCCTGAAGCAGGTACTCACAGAGAGTCACAGGGTAATTCAGGATGAAAGGGACATCAGAAGGTCTGCAATCCCACCACCTCCTGCCCAAAGTAGGGTTAGACATGAGGTGAGACCAAGGTGCTCAGGGCTTTATTCAGATGTGCCTTGGCAACCTTCAAGGATGGAGACACCACAGCCTCTTTTTCAATCTGCTCCATTGCTTGGCTGTCCTAACAGTGAAAATTTTTTCTTCATATCCAGTCCAAGTCTCTCTAGTTTCAGCTTACGCCTGTTGTCTCTCACTGTCCCTGCACACGCCACTATGAAGAGCCTGTCTCTGCCTGTGCAATCACCACTCTGTAGGTGCTGGGGACTGCTGAGAGGTCCCCCCGAAGCCATCGCTGTCTGAGGCTGAACTGGACCCATCTCTGCAGACTTCTCCTCACAGAGCAAGTGCTGCAGCCTCCAACCCTCTTGGTGGCACATGTTGAACTGACTTGCTTCAGTTTGTCATGTCTTTCCTGTACTGCAGGGACCCAACACTGGAGACAGTACCCAAGTCTAATCTAAAGAGTCCTGAGCCAAGGGGGATAACCCCTGTACTCCTCTAGGCTGGACTCCTGCTCACACAGGATGTTTGGGCACTTGCTGCTGGCCCCCTGTTCAGCTCAGTGACTGACACGGCCCTGGGCCATCCCCAAAGGCAAATAGACAAATTTGTTCTTGGAAGACTGAAATGAGCTGTGCAGCTCTGGCAGCCTGGGCACAACTGTTTTTCCTCACGACCTGTGAGCTGACATATCCAGCTCTTTAAGGGGAGACATTAACGTTTCTGTGGATGTGCTAGGAGCTTCCTCTTTACAGGATAGCTGTATGAAACATTACTGAAGTGTAAGGCTTCTCAACTCCCCTTTAAATGCTCAGACCAGGACCTTACAGCAGACACCCTTTTTGAATCCAACCATGAAGATCCTCAGAAATTATGCTCCTCATGAAAGAATCACAGCAAAATAAAAAATCCTAAATCAAGGGGACTTGAACATTCTGCACCTTTGAGCTATTATTAGGTTTACAATTGCTCTTTTGCTCTCATTTCTCCATCATTTCAGCTAGAAACATTGTGCCTTTTATTCGTCCTTGTAGCTCGGCAGGGTAGCTGGGAACCACTCACCAAAGCCTTAAAGATAATTTTGGGGAGACTTTGGCAAAATTCCACCTGCTCCTTCATGCTCAATGAGATCCTTGTGTAGAAACTGGAACTAATCTGCTGTCTTCCAATTCATCCTTGTGGAACTACACTGTATGGTTTCAGCTTCTCAGAGTACTCACTTGGAGCAGCATTATTTGCTGAAAGCTTGTATTTCTGTACTTCTGTGCTTTGCAGGCTGGCTTCGAGTGATAACTGTCTCTTTGTTATCTTTAGGGAAACACTGGAAATAAGTAAGAGAGAGCAGACATTAGTC